CAGTTGATTCATTTCCCTTCAATAACAAGACAAAAACAGAATCGAGTTTTGCATTGCTCGGTGATTCCTGTCTTTTGAAATGTCCTACAGGTTACAAAAAGTCTTTGAAAACCGGTCGTTGTTATGCTTGTGAAGATCAGTGTGAACTAAAACGTAATGTCGTTTAATTGTTTATGTTATTAGCCGATTTTGTTATCGCATATTTACTTCTCTTCGTAATTTTGTTTCTCTCCCTCTCTCTGTCCCTTTCTGTGAATGACTTCCTAATCACTCATATGTATTAGATCAATAGTTAGTCTTAGGTCACACTGTGTAAATAGGATTATATTAGTTTTACAAATAGCGGATATTTAAATACATGTTTCAGAAACATGGAATCACTAATAAATAATTTCAGACAAGAAATAGGAAAGTTTGTGTTGCTTTAAGATGTTTTTAACTGAAAGATTACTGTTACAAATCACTGTAGTCAACATGTTTCGATTTAGGTTGTGTGATACGCATCACATTAAAATGAATGATTATTTTAAATGTTTGAGTAATTTCATTCATCTAACATGGTTTTTTATGTCAGTGTTGTGATGATTCTACTGGTCAGTTCGAATTGAATTATATACTCAGAATTTATTTAATGAAATGGTTTCTCCTGGTTAACAGAGGATGTAACATTATCACTTGACGGACTAAGTTGCTATACTTCAGATCTTTAGATCAAGCTGAAGATAATAAGATAGAAGAGAAAAAAAATTAAGACAGTGATATGAAATACAATCAAACGAAAGAAGAAACAGTTGGGCAGATAAAAGATGTGATATTACCATTTGGGTGGAAATGGAAAGTGTTTAAGTTTCACACTACTGTGACCAGTTCTAAAGCGTTTATCTTATTTGCTTTTTATAACTAAGGAACGTGTAGAAGTTAGACGGTCAGAACTCAGTTAATCTGAACAGATTTCTCGTATAACTAGGCTAGAAGCCACATTTATTTCGTAGTGGCTGATGATAATAGTACTCAATAGTCCAGGTTGGGTTGGGTGGGGCAGGGACTCGAATCTAGGAGTCATTGGTTAAAAGGTGGGTATATATATATCTCCTTTTATAGTGGTGGATTGGATGTATTCTATGACTAGTTTTCACTTCGTTAGATCGTGTCTGTTGCGCCTTAATTTGAAGTAGTCTATTTAAATTATTTTTAGAAAAACAGCAGAAAATCTGTTTGTCTACAATTGTCATTTTTGATTCCTTATCATCTTTATTCGTTTTCTTTCCTGTAGACTGTCGAGAATTTCTGATTCATAGTTTGAAGGCACTTGATACTTTAGTTGGTTGCCATTCTGCTAAGGCTATTTATCTTAGCATTCAAGAAGGTAAACCCGGTAAGTAATTGTCAAATTATTTTAAGAAGTTTTAATGAACACTAAGTAAATGACTATTATAATATCTCTACATTGTAGAGGATCAATTAAAAAAAAGTTAATTAAGGTCGAACAAAGGTGTAAGGCATATTCATCATTATTTTAATCTATTAATTGAAGGTTGTTAAAAATGTGTAGACTTTTTGATTTTTGATCTGCAGTTGTTAGTTGATTCAACAGCTGTAGAGGCTATCAGTCAAATAATATTAGGATGAAACTAAAGGTTAGAGGATTGGTTAGAGGATTTCATCATGAGGTGAAATCAGTTAGAGAACTATTAGAAAACCTGGGAGTACTGAACAGCTGTTCTGTCCTAGTTCGGGACTCTTCATCAGTATTATGATATCCATTATTATTATTATTATTATTATTATTATTATTATATGATGTTCATTCAAACAAGTTCATATATGCAACAAAATTGATTAACTCAGTATAGTTGCAAGCAATAACATCAAAACTTTTTATATGCTTATTAATAAAAAATTTTTTTGACTGTATTTTAATTAACTTACAGAAACTGTAGCTCTGTTATTGGATAAAGCGTTTGCAAATTTAAGAGTTATACACCATAGTTTACGTATAGTACGTTCATCTGTACTTCTTCATTTAAATTTTCTACGACATATACGTTCTATTGGACAAGTGGAAAGAAATGTTTCAAGTCATACGTAAGTTAAGAAATGTTTTTTTTGCTTGTTTGAATACTTTTGGCATATTACTGTAATTACATATTTTAGCTTAGTATAAATGTATATAGAAGATTTTTACGAGTTGATCACGGATTGATATCAGTTAGAGAACCATTGAAAACCAGTGAGTACTGGGTAGCTATTTCTTCTTTGTTGGTAACTTTTTAGCAGTACGCATCAATGACCCCACGATGAATATGGCATCCAGGACCTTCAGGTTACAAGGTGACGTTTCAGCCGTTGGAGCTGATGAGTCGTGACCAGTGAGATCCATCCAGATGTCACGTATGTGGATGGATGTCCCACCGACGACATTGGTTGGGGTCGTGCTAAATCACGAATTGGTAGAAGTTAGAATTCATGAGCCATTGAATCGGGTCGGGTCCCAGTGGCTGAATTGTATACGAGCTTGCCTTGTAACCGGAAGGTCCTGGGTTTGAACCCTAGTGGTGGGTGCGTACTGCCGATGACTCCCAAACTAGGATGAAACAGCTGTCCAGTACTCCCTGCATTTCTTCAATGGTTCTCTAACTGATACCAATCCGTGATCAACTCGTAAAAACAAAACTAACCCTTACAAACCAAACTATAGAAAATATAGAAGATTAACGTTAAAATGTTTACAATATTTGTTGGTCTGCAAAAAAATTTCAGTGAAATGTATGAAACAACCGAATAGTGTAATCGTTAATTATCTAACCATTGTGTAAGTGACAAATTTTTAACAAGTTTAAGGGTTGATGTTAAACATTTTTCTAACTAACCCTAATTTTGGATGATATGACAGGCTTTTACTTCTTAAGAAAAGATTGGATGTAATTACACTGAATTTTTAAACTGATCCAGCAATAGGAACAGTTCACTCACTATACAGCGCAACCGCCAGCCAGTGTCATCGGCAAGTATTTGTTCTCACAGCCAACTTGGTAGATGGTCACATATGTGTTTATGCATAGTTTGATTAAGGATAAAAAAGAAAATAATTAGCGTAACCAAATTTTTGAGTTGGTACATCCGTTTTGATATTGCAGTGAGCACATATGTTACGAGTATAAAATAGATCTCTTGTAGAACAAAAAAGTAAACGTGAGAAGGACATAAATATTCGTCATTTAGAAGGCAGTGTAGTGTATGTTGTATAGATAAGAAGTATCATCATAGTAATGATACTTGTAGAGAAAACGATAATAATCGTATTACAAGTTGTGTTTACATTTTACGAAGAATTACTTACTACTGAAACACTTATTTTAGTTAGTGAAATTATCGATGAAAAGTTATCAGACAGTTATTTCGATCATAACTACCTGAGGTACTGGTAGTGCTACTGATTATTTACACTATACCAGCCACTATTAAATGTAGTTTACCTAATTACCCAATAAATCAATACTCTACCTAACTGGTAGGTATCGACAATAAAACGCAAATCAGAAAGGTACTCAGTTAGTAATGCTGATATCAGTTAGAGAACCATTGAAAACCAGGGAGTACTGGACAGCTGCTGATATCAATCCGTGATCAACTCGTAAAAACATATCTAACCCTTACGAACCAAACTATAGAAAATTAATCTGATGCTCGCTTGTGACTTGCTACAGGATGGAGTTTCCTGGAGTTCTAGTGAGAAGTCGTGACCAGTGAGGTCCAATTATATGTTACGTGTGTGGGTGGATGTCCCACCAACGACAATGGTTGGGGTCGCGCTAAATCACGAATTGGTAGAAGTTAGAATTCATGAGCCATTGAATCAGGTCGGGTCCCAGTGGCTGAATTGTATACGAGCTTGCCTTGTAACCGGAGGGTCCTGGGTTCGAACTCTGGTGGTGGGTGCGTACTGCCGATGATTCCCAAACTAGGATGAAACAGCTGTCCAGTACTCCCTGGTTTTCAATGGTTCTCTAACTGATATCAATCCGTGATCAACTCGTGAAAATATATCTAACCCTAACAAACCAAACTACTAATTCATGTGTTTTGCCCATCATTCTTTATTGTTCTCCATTATTCTTCCCTGGGCTACTCAAGAAAGACCACATAATACTACGAAGAACATTGAAGGCCGTAAGTAGGGTCAGTGCTATCCCTTTGACTCAACTAACCGACACTGTTGTCAATAGGCATTTGAATTCTTGTAAACACTTAGCTAAAGTTATTTTGTCTGATAGTGAACATCCTCTTTATTCACATTTGTTTCCTTGTATCTCTTCGGGTAAGACCAGAAGAAATTTCATAAACATTTATGCTCGTACTACAAAATATAAAAATTCGGCCGTACCATATTTGGCACGAGTATTGTGTGAAGAGACAAATATCAGAAAAGAACTCTTACAACTTTTAAATCATTAACCAAACTATAAAATGTAATGATGCATATTATTACATGTGTTATTTGTTATATTATTTATTTATTATTCACTATGACCTAGCAATGGTGTGATTTTGTTGGGGTTTTTATTTTTCCTATTAACTATCAATATTTTAACATTTTATACATTTATATAATTATAAACAGAGCTAAACCATTGCAATATGTAAAAGAAACGCTGAAAATTCCATGCTGTAAATTGTTATTGTTGTGGAATAAAGTGAATTATTATTATTAAAAAAAAAACTATAGAAAGTTAGTAATGTACCCTGATGAGTAGTATATTTGAGTAACATAAAAAGTAAAGATTTTTCAAGGAAAATGTATGAGGACTTATCTGACTAGTATGGCTGAACTACTGACTCAGAGAATGTGCGGTGTAAATAGTACAAGAAGAGAGTGCAAAATGGCTTTTTAGCCAGGATTTAAATCATTGGGAGTTGTACTGCAGCTGTCTCACCGTATTATTCACTTATTTTAAAAGAAATATTTTATCCAATTATTTATTTTTTGTTTTTGTTTTTAGGATTGTTTTCGAAATCTCAGGAAATGATAATTTACGTGAATTATGGTCATTAACCGGAAATTCTACTAAAGATAATAAGCGTAATAATAATAGCTTACACATTCTATCGCATGGTTTAATACGCATTACACAGAATCGTGAATTATGTCCAGAGAAAGTTTTTCAGTTATTTCAATCTGGTATTATAAAATTACCAGGAGATTACAATAATAATACATTAACACAAGCAGAACGTGAAATGATTTCTATAACAAATGGAGATTTAGCCTACTGTAAGTCCAATTGCTTGTTACAATAATAAGCTGTGAAAATTTTGTCTCATTCATCTGTTGTTTTCTTTTTACTCATTTTTAATGAAATTTGTAATCGTTGTGGTATTGATGTATTCATAAGAAGAATATGCTTTTAAAAGATAACTGTACTATACACCAGTAGTTAAAGTGTTCCAGTGTTTGCATCAGTTTCACTAGACAATTATTAGGATGTTAAATATTCACTGATGAGTTTTGATCTCAATTAGCAAAGTAGACAGTTCAAGGTGAAAATTCGCTAGAATTTCCTTTGGAAAGCGAAAATATTTAAAAAACAGAAAGATTGAGCGAAGAAATATTTACTTTTCAATTAGATCCTCATCTCTGGCTCTACTCTAATATACATAGCATTTTTATTACAATACAACAACAGTTTGCCAATCAAGTGGTGATATGTTTGTTAACAATAATTAATCAATGTAGATACACATAGAAGAGGCAAATTTAGGTAGTTTATCCTTATTTCTCGAACGTAGAATAGGGGTGGTTGTGAAGAGACAACGTACCTCTGCTGCATAATAAGCTGTTTTAACTGCATTAACTTCAGGCACTGTGTTATTATCTCGCTGATGTTGTCACCGAGGAACTGCAATTTTATGAACATTGGTTTTTTCGGAACTGTAGCCATACTGACTCCCCTAGGTGCTGAATTCATATTTTTCCCAATGACTTTATCTGGATAACCATTTTTTCTAAGTAATTCTCTAATAATCTTAAACTCCTCATTGAGGCAATCGTCTGAACAGATTAACCTAGCTCTATGGACCAGACACTACCAGGTTACGTTTATATTTCAAAAGTACAAAAGTAAATATTTCTTCGCTCAATCTTTCTGTTTTCTAAATGTGTAAATGGGGATTTTTTCTATATCAAAAATATTTAGATCACAATGCATGCGATCTAATTGACACCATAAATGTCAATCAAGAAAGCAAGCATAATCACATAGTGATATACGCTATTGAGTGATTTGAACAGTTGCAGACCACAGTGACGTCACGTCTGTAGAATTATAGCTTATATTTTCTGTTCTACAACTTTTCTTATTCTGTCAATCAAGTAAACCCCGCCTGATTTTATGCCTTTTCTAGACACTGAGGTTTCTTTCATTACTTATCACGAACTTTCACTCCTATTTTCAAAGCGAATTTATTTGTAGGCAGAACGTATGGTTTCGTCAATCAGTGGCGTCTCTTTTTACAGCATGATATATATATATATATCGACATTCAACTGTAATCCTTATGTGTGCTACTTGAAGGTTTAAAAGTGTGTGTATTGCTCAGTGGAGTAAAACACTTAGTTCTTGTCCGTACTGGTTTCTTATTTTATTTATTCACTTTATATCCCGTTGTCCGCATGCCCATAGCTACAGTATATAGCCTATTTCTTGTTGCTTCAAGTGTAAGCACACTAGTGTTTATCCAATGTGTTCTGTGCTATGGCGTGCCTTTAACATTTTATAAGAACAAAAAGTTCAGCGAAGAGTCTCTTTTCGGCGAATTCATTTACTTAGCTGTACAATCACATTTGATCATGGGGAATAAAAAGACAGTTGCAGGGAAGAAAATTTTCTTTTCGACGAAGTCATCATCTAGGCTGTACATTCGTGTATTTATATCAAATGGATGGGAAAGTTCCAGAATAATTTCTGGTTAAGGGTTAAATTAATAGAAATTACAATTAGGAATTAGAACGCCATAATAAACAGGGGGATGGGTAAAACTCAAATAAAGTAGCATAATAACTAAGAAAATTGACATTGTGCAATTGGGGGTTAGAAATGTAAAAATAACAAAATATACAGGATGTTTGGATAAAAAACTAGTGTGATGAATAATTGTTTATGCAATCAGGGATTAAATATGTAGAAGTAGTAAAATGACAAAATAAACAGGAAGTGTGGATATGAAAATATGGTAGTGTAGACAGGGATTAAGAAAACTTAAAATAACATGAATAAACAGGAAGTTTAGATAAGAAAGGCGATGGGATGGTCATTATTAAAAAAAAAAAATTTTACCTGTTTATGATGGCCATGGCAGGGACAGGGGTTGAACGTATTTCTTTTGGATACAAAGGGTGGGTTTGAGTTTTTGGATAGCTAACGCCTCAGCTATGCCCAAATGTCTCGATTTCACTCCCTTTGACAGGTTTGATTGAATCTTGTATATTACTTTGAAGGACTTTTCGAAAGGCGCTGAATGTCCTGAGTTGACCAGATGTTCTGTCACTGAACTGTATACGCGTTTTTGCTCTCCTTTTACCAGCCAGGCTGGGTAGTGTTCACGAGCGCGTTTTCCAAGTTGGCGCATGGTACGGCCGATGTACTCAGCTCCACAAGAGCAAGTAAACTGGTATATGCACGTTGAGGTGGCCCAATGCGACAACTTGTCTTTCGCATTCTGGTTGAGCAGTTTCTTGCAGGAAAACGTCAGTCGTAGGCTTGCGGCGAAGTATTTTTTCCTCAGCGATTTGGAGAGGCGTTTGCGGAAGATTTCTGCTTCAATATCACCTTTGAATTCTAGATTAAGCAGAAGTATTTTCTTTGGGACGGATTGGACTTGTTCAGAAATCTTCTTAGGTTTCAGATTCTTGTCTATGAACCTGGGCGGGAAACCGTTTTCCATCAGGGTTTTTCGGAGATTACGCAGTTCTTCTTCGATCACTTCCTCGCTGCATATCTTCCGAATCCTCGAGGAAAGAGCGTATATCACATTTATATATAATTATTTTGTGTGTGTGTGTGTACATTAGGATTGTCAAACAAAAATAAAAATAAGTTAGGGTTGTTGTTTACGTCATCAAAATGTTCTTCAAAAATGCAGTGAATAATCAAATTGTAACTAGGGGTGGGGTGGAGATTGGTTAGCATTGACAAGAATTGCGTAATACGAAATAGGATGTTAATGAAAGAGCATGGAGATACGTGTTCGAAATAAATTATGTAATAAGTCGAAAGAGTAGATAAAGGGTTGGTTAAGAAAAAGATGTTGCTAAAAAGTCATACAAAAATTCAAAAAATCATTATTCACAAAGTGGTAGAACTTGGAATTATACCCAAGGTAGAAGAAGAGGGTGGAGAAGTTTCTTCTGTGTACATAAATCAGGGCTTTCTATCCGGATCGCTAGGGCCTCGGAAATGCAAAGTATGCGGAAGCTTACCGTTTTCGGGAGGCTTCTTTTGACTTTGTAGATGACTTTAATGAATTCTCGTTATATATTGATTGACCAGCGCTGAATATAGGTTCAATTATAGCACTCGTTATTGATCCACTGTTACCTTTTCGTAGCCAAGTTGGATAATGTTCTTTAACTCTTTTGAATAACACGCATCGAACGACCTATATATCTCGCTCCAGATGAGCACGTAAATTGGTAGGTACACGTAGAAGTGGTCAAATGAAATAGTTTACCTTTGGAGTTATTGATATTCTCAAGCTGCCCATTGTTTTTACTAATCTTCACCCCACCCCTAGTTACAATTCAATTATTCATTACATTTTTGAAACATTTTGATGACGTGAACAATCACCCTAACTAATTTTTATTTTTGTCTGATAATCCTAATGTACACACACACAAAATAGTTATATATGTAGATGCATTGTACAGCTTATTGAATGAATTCGCTGAAAAGAGACTCTTCGCTGATTTTTTATGTTCTTATATTCATACATTTTAGACAATAATATCTGAATGTTGGCGAAAATATGTACTGTTTTTTGAATATAATCCTCTTATGAGAAGTGTTTTATGACATCACAGGACTTCGCTCACATACTCCGAAGACTAGTAGCCTACAATAGCTAGGTTATATAATATGATGTACTAACTATTATTATTTTTGGTACTGTTTCGTACTACTTATCTATTGTTTCATTTTAGAGTAGTTGGTTTGTTACGTGTAATCAGATTTGTACACTAAGAAGGGAGATGGTTAGCCTTTTCAGGGGAAAGATTGTTTGTGTCAATAGGAACAGGATCACTCATTGAGATAATGTAGGCAAACCAAGTTGACAAGTCCGAGATAGATTGAAATACGCATCCTGGTTTCCACTACTATCAACTGTCTATCAAGTAGTTGTTTAATTGGATTTCTAAGTCAACAAATATACATTTCATGATTTATTTAAGCTCCGTTATTATCTATTTTTACCATCAAAACTTATTTCTCTCATAGTCATCTCAACTTCTGACAAGAAGACAAGTTTCTGTTGGCCTTTATGAACCTACATAACTTGATATTAAAGTCAATGACACTAAAGCATTTATCAGATTACATTGTAAGCGATCAAACATGTAGATTGTTTTTTACATTAGTTTTTTGTTTAGTTAGATATGAGGCTGGCAAATCAATACCACCAAAAATGAGCAATACAAATTAATGCAACAAAAATATAAAGAATATAACATAGGTATGTAGTTGAAGAGTAGTTAGAAACTATTCATCATATCGTAAATTCTTTAAAATAATCTCCCTATGATGCAAAATTTTGAATTGCTTACTTTTCTTTGGGTGAGTGTTTGTCTGTCTCCTTTTGACAATTGATTTTCTTTCCTGGCTATACAGTAGAACCTTCATTTCACTACTAGTCACCGTCAACTCAATATCTATTGAATATAGTTTTAAAATGTTATAATAGGGGTATTTATACTCATTGTATTCTTCCTATTTTTACGTTTAATTATTTTACATCAAGGTAATTGGAGTGAATTTACCCTAAAGCTGAGTAATCTAAGCTCTCATAGTGTTCGTGTTACATGGCGTTATCCGTCTACTTTTCAATTTGTAAATAAATCTTTATATGACAATAATTCTTCTATACAATCAGATAGTGCAAAATCCAATCCTACAGATGAACTTGTATTAATCTATCTTTTCTATCAACTAGCGTAAGTTATAGTTATTTATCTATTGAAATTCATGTACACTTTGTCTTCTTCAATTATTAAAGATTGAGTTCTATTAATATATGTGTAAAACTTGGCCACTGTGGTTGTAAGTAATTCCATATTAGTTTGTTTATTCGATGTATCACACAGTGATGAAACAGTATTATTTACTGGATGGTGTTTCGAGCAAAATTTATTGTTCATAATCATTTCATCAGTTATAATCACATGACTTCGAAACTTGAGTTTTATTGTCTTCTTTGTTCTCTTCTATTTGTCGTACGGGTAGTAGAATTTTCCAGATATCTGGGACAGGTGTTGAACCATTCCTATTACACGTATTTGCAGTTGATTCGATAAACAAACCTTTTCTCATCAATCTCTCCCTTCACCCTGTGACATATTTTAAAACTGTCATCTTATCCCATCCTATTGCATGGTTGTGTGTAACTGCATGTGGTACTATAGCTGAACTATTCTCTAGATTTCTTACCTTATTGGGGTCAACCAATCTAGATTTTGCTAGGCTTTTGTGCTCCGCTAGTCTGACTGTCCCTGTTCTACTAGTTTGACCTATGTATGTGACCTGACGATCATTCCAGTAGGGTATTAGATAAACTAAATTGTTGTTTTAAAGGCTCCACAGGATCCTTTAACCAACAAAGTTTGTTTCTAATTGAGTTTGTGGGTTTGAATGCCATTTTTATTCCTGCCTTGTTAAGAATTCTGCATAAGGTTTCCGAGGTTTCCTCTTTGTATGGAAGTACTACTGATGATTTAGATTCCTTATTGTTGGTCTTGTCATTATCCTGCGCATGTCTGACTTGCATGTCGTCACTGATATTATTATAATTATCACTATCACTACTATTATTATTAATTTTATCTTTACATTTTCCTAAATACTTCCTGATTATTTTTTCAGGGTAATTATTAAGTTTCAAAGCTTCTCTTATATACCTCCCTTCTTGTCTTAGATTTTCCTTTGGTACTACTTGGTTTTTGTGCCCTATTACTCAAATATCTCACCAATCCTATGTTTACTGACATAGAGTGGGTGGGATGATCGGAAGTCCAAATATCTGTTTGATTGTGTGGGTTTCCTGTAAAATCTAGTGTTTAACTTCCCATCTTCTTTCCTTTTTACGCTGCAATCTAACATTGGAAGTTCCCCTTCTTGACTTTCCAATTCATAAGTGAATTGAATTGCCTCCACCTTTCAGCTAATGTGTTCAAAAAATCTATTTATATCCTGGGTTCTAAATACAGTGAATGTGTCATCTACATACTTCCACCATACAATTGAGGTTGGGCTGAACGTTTCAATCGCTATGTTTTCCCACCTGTCCATGAATATATCTGCCACAATCGGGGATATTGGTGACCCCATGGCAACTCCCTCAGTTTGTTTGTATGCTTTCCTCTGGAATTTCGTGCGAAACGTCATCCAGTAAATATAACTGTTTCACTGTGTGATACATCTAATAAACAAACTAATATGAAAGATTAAGTTCTCTTGTTTATTTGAGTAGTAAACACTACTATTGTATTAGTTACGCATTTAAGAAAATTATTCCTGTTAGTAAGGCTGTTTGGAACAGTAGCAGTTAACAGCACAGAGTAATGTATCGTCTATATCTGGAATCTTCTTGTTGCCTGCTTACCGGGTAAAAAAATCTATACAATTAAAAGATACCAAGGAAAGTTTACACATACTTTAATATCAATTCGTTGATAAACTGTTCGACAAGAAAGGAAATAATTTCATTATTTTGTAATTAGGATTGAACTGAAACAATTCGGAAATGTTATTAAAGCAGGAGTCCTTCAAATTTCGGTATAAATCTTCGTCTTAATACCCTACTTACAGTGATATATATATATATATCACTGTCTGTAGAGTATTCACCTGGAAAGTCCTACTGAGTTTTTGTGCTTTCATTAAATCCTACCTCATTAAAAATGTTTGTTTGTTGCTTAAAATTCGTATTGGGAAATATTTCTAAGAATTGAATTGAACGGTTATTAGGCTTCTTCCTCTAATAATTACACTAAAAAGTTGAATAGCTGATAGGGGAGAATTGTCTAGGACGAAGTATTCAGGTACCTAGATTACCACTATCCGGAAAAATGAGGTTAACAGGATAGGAACTAGAATATCTTGCATGAAGAAGATTGGCATGTGTTCCTCTCTAACTTGAATGAAATAGGCACTAGTCATTCATTGGCCACTGTTTCAATGAATTTGGTTGGTTTGATCTATTATTTCTAAACGCCTTTTCCATTAGGTGGTGGCTGATTGCATTGCTAAAGACTTTTGTAACTCTCACTTACATGTTCTTTTGTCTAATTCTCAAAATTCACTCGCCATTTCCTGTGCCCGTTGTTTCAGTTTTTATTTTTTTTTTTAACATGTTTGTATGAATTAACCTATCTAGTTAAGAGTGACATGAAAATGTGTTTATCTTATATTGTACAAACAATTGCTTCTTTTATTGGTGACTGACTCCCCCACATTAATGTAACTCACCACCAATAAATTACTATGAGGTATAATTGTTAGAATGTTCAAGATATTTATAAATTAATTTCTCAAAATTTACACTTGGAAGTGTTGTAGACTGTCAAGCTTGGATAAAGTATATTTTTTCACAACCGTTAATTAACTTACTGACAATTTTTCACTCATTCAACATTAAATATAACAACACGATGTTATATTAAATGATATAGCTTTAAGACAACTTAGCCTAAACCAGACAGAATGAATTTGATAATTGGGAATTAACACTGGCTATTGATAATTGGTAGCTCCTTGGTGTATTGCCTTTTCTCTTTCGATGGATTGTTCAAATATAATTTAAAGCGTGTATGAGGATCGGCATAAACTCATATTCCACTTCAGTGTTAAGTAGTATGTTTTGGGTTGAGATTTTCTTACCAAAATTCGATTAATAGTTTGTTGAGTGTTGGCGTGTCACAAAAAGTGTTTTCAACAGTTTGAAGACATTCATTAATAACTACCTTCACTCAATATTAAAGATCAGATGGCCAGATTTTATAAGCAACAAGGAAATCTGACAACGAATGACCCAAGAACATACTCCCCAAGAAATATGCGGAAAAATTAGGGATAGACTTGACATACGCTAAGCAGATCGTTAAACAACATCAAGCGTCAAGTCCTCGGGAGGAACACGAATATGGAAACTAGTGAGATGGACGTTCGAGAGTGGCATGTATGAGATTTTATGGGGAGCAAGTGAAAGCTCCTCATAGACTATCGTGAAACCAGATTAAAAAAGATCGCGGAGCACAGAGTGAAATGACGATCTACTGTTGAAGCGCTATGTTCCCCTTCGGAAACCAAACGACGAATAATAGTAATAATGATAATAAGTATTTGTGTGTTTGTTTACTCAATTAATGACAATATTAAGCATTAAAAGTGCTGTCCCGTAATCTGAATGTCATCTTCACACAGCATAAAAACAATTCTATGTAGTTTAATATATATGCATGAATCACCACTATAATTATCTTTCTCAAGTAACTTTTCCTTTTTACTTTTCAGTCCGAATGATTTGCCAAATATTAAAGTCAGAAAAATGTATGACAAAAATTCGTAAGTTGACTATTTCATTATTTAAACACTTAACTCTTTTAACTGTTGTTAATTACCTTCAACTGTATATATATACACACTATAAAAGTGCAGTAAATTCAAGAAGCTATATAATCAGATTAGATGTTAGGCATACTTTGAAACAACCATCAAAAAAGGATTAATCCAATGTCACTTTAGAGTTGAGAAGATCATAACCAATCATCGGATAAAGTATTCCAGAGACAATTGAGCAGAGGAACGAGAACTATGCTTAGTAATATGAATAAAGCAAACATTCTTCAAGAATGTGAATTTCATCAATGCTCCGAACTTCAAAAAAAGTGTCAGTTAACAGAATAGCAACAAAGTAGAAATAAATTCATTGAAATAGAATTGCGAAAATTAATGTCTTCATCATTAAATTCTTTTTATTATCACGAAAATGTTACTGAAGGTGGCTGTCTTGTGGACAATATCAGTCCCGAGAATAGTTTAAATTCAGCAGCACAATAATCTAAAATAATGGTGAATATATATGTAGCTCAATGTATGGATGTTTCAGTTTAACTGTTCTACAAACTGGGTGCTATCTAAATTATCTTAGACTCAAGTCTTCCTGCTGATTGACTCCTAACAACCAACATCAAATTTCAGTATGGTGTGGGTGTGGTGTAGTGTCGCTCCGCTTATGTTTGTATTATCCATCCGGTCGATTGATTGTGATCACCACCTAGGGCTGTCTAGAGATTAATTCTCATGTTCCAGTTCTACAGGATAGTGTAAATAACTCAGTGGTGAAGTGTCTGACTGCATTACTAAGTAATGAATATATAAATCTCATGGGGCATGGGATCTCCCATAATGTTTCAGTGGGTGAGCAGATAGAAAACCTAGGTCAAAGATTTTCTTTCAATTGACTCTTATTATGCATTAATATCAGTGCGTCGGTGGCACAGTGGTTAGGGCGCTCGCCAACCATGCACATGATCCGGGGTTCGATCCCCAACCGACGCACTCCTTTACCTCGCTAAACCAGTAATAAAAAGCCGGTAAAGAGGAAAATTTGGGCATGAGGCTAGCAACCCCATCCTGTAAAAGTAAACACTGCTACAGGAACTTCAAACCTCTAGCTTGAAACCCTATGTTCCACTGGGAATGTGAAGGGAAAAAAAGCATTAATGTCAGTTAGAGAACCATGCAGGGAGTACTGGGCATCTACATCGTCCTGGTTTGGGACTCTGCAGCAGTACGTACACTCTAGGGTACAAATTCAGGACTTCCCAGTTACGAGGTGGGCTCGTAGACCATTTAGCCACTAGGACACGATCCAGTGGGTCTTAAACCTTAACTTCTGCCAATTCGCGAGACATATATATATCGCGAATTAGAGGGCAAACATTTGTAATTATTATTCACTTAGTAAGCTTTTATCTTTTCCCTAATATTTCACCTCTGCTTTGTCGATAACTTAACTCTGACCTGGATTGTATACCATGTGTGGTATTACAGTGTACACGTTATATCTTTCTAGATGGCGTATGTTAACAGTCTCATGTGATTTAAATATTGGTAATACGGAATTCGATTGTGGTTCAACACTGAATGATCTAGAACCTGCATCACGTTATGCAGTATATGTAGAAATGAAATTCCCCTTGAGACAAACCGGTGCTATCAGTAATTTAGTTTACTTCACAACATTGTCAATCAGTAAGTGATATTAAAATTTCGGGAAGTGATTTCTTTTTTAAGATATATATATATATATATGTATATATATACATTTGTACAAATAAACGTACATGTAACTATTATAATCTTTCTCATATTGTGTGTTCTACAAATTATCTTCTAAAACAATAAGAACTAGATTTTCTTGTTATAAAATGTACCCATGATTTCTCCTTAATTGCAGTAAATACAAGCCGATTATAGATTGAAATAAATAGTATGCATATGTACTAGTGAAGGATAACGGTGTAAAGAAAGGAAATAGAATTAAAACAAGATGTTAACACTACCAGCAGTTAGAATAAGATTTGTTTCTTCACAAATGAATGGAAGGAAAGATACTGGAGTTACCACAGAATATCAAGGTAATGATGATAATAATAATAGTAGTTTTTCCAATCATCCAAGGCGAGCTCGTAAACCATTAAGCCACTGGGACCCGATCCAACGGTCCATGAATTCCAACTTCTGCTTAATGGTTTGCGAACACACCTTGTAACCAGAAGGTCGTGGATTCGAGGCATCAGTGGGTGCGTACTGCTGGAGAGTCTCGAACTAGGACGAAACAGCTGTCCAGTACTCTCAGGTTTTCCAGTGGTCCTCTAACCGATTGTCAATTCATGATGAAATACTGAAACCGATCAAATCCCTGCAAATCAACACTTGAATAATAAATGTTGAGATTTTAAAAAAACTGGTTTCTAAACTAAGTTTTAGATTTAACGGTTTGGAAACCTTTGGACATAGAGTTTTTGTTGTTCGGTGTTATAAAAATGTTATATTTCCTAATAAATAAAAAAACAAAGTTTTTTTTCTTCACATTTATTGGGAAGCACAAAATTTTTTTAATATTAAGTTTGAGACATTCCTCACCTGTATATTGTTTCAGTCCTTCCGGAGGAGAAACTCCTTTTAGGTATCCAGGTGATGGTTTGCAGGGATTTGATTGATTTCAGCTTTTAGTCGTGAATTGAGTTAAGGAACCCATTGAATACCAGTGAGTACCGGAGGGTTGTCTCGTCCATGTTTGGGGCTCTTCATCAGTGTACACCCATGACCCCCGCCAGGGATCAAGCCTAGGACCTTCAGGTTACAAGGCGAACTCGTGCACGAATTATTATATATTATTATTGTTCCCTTGGGTTCCTAGTGGAACATAGGGCTTCAACTGCACGTCTCCACTTGCTTCTGACTTTGCTGTACTTTTCATCTGCATCCATGTTAATCCATAATGTCTCAACTCCTCTTCACACGATCTCCCCCATGTCACCCTTGGACGTCTCACTCGCCGCTTCCCTTTCGGGTTCCACTCGAGCACTGGCCTGACGCGCGATATCACCCAGTGGCCTCCTCAGTGAGTGTTCAATCCATCTCGACTTTCTCCTGCATATTTGTTGGGTGATTGGTTCTTGTTTTGTTTGTTCCCATAGTTTCTTGTTGGTGATTCTTTCCGGCCATCTCATCTTCACTGTAGAACGAAGACAGTTGTTGATAAGGGTCTGCAACGGGCTGTTGGAAATATTCTTTGTGACCCGCCAAGTTTCTGATCCGTATAGAAGAACTGACCGTCTTGACGTTTGTATTGAAAGTGCGAATTTTGTTGTTGATGCTAAGTGACGAAGATTTCCAGATTGGTTTTAGGTTGATGAATGTGTTTCTCGCCTTCCCGATTCTCGATTTGACATCCTTGTCCGCTTTCAGTGCTTCAGGGGCTATTCCATCTGGTCCAGCTGCTTTTCCAGCTTTCAGAAGCTTGATTGCTCTCAAGACTTCAGCTTTCGTTGGAGGATTGGTGTCAACTTGCAGTTGTGTACGTGCACGAATCATACACTTAAACGGCCCATCAACTCTAATTCCTTCCAATTCGCCATATAGCGTGACTGCCAGCCAATGTCATTAGTCAGTATCTGTCCCCTACTGACCACGACTTCTCACTAGAATTTGCGACAACTTCATCCTGTAGTGAGCTTCATTGTATTAAGAACTGTAAATGTCTGTGGTGTGTCCGAAATGGTTAAAATCACGAATACTACGTGCTCAATATCAGATTCCGTAATGTCTTTAAATGAAAGATATAGAAATTGTCCATCCTTTATATTTGCCTTGATAAGCACAGGTTATTTCGTAAATATGGTTAGAAATATAGCCTGTTTTTTGCCGCAAGAAGTAAAAATGCTCTTATTCTTCTCGTATTAATAAATTGTGCCATTTTGTGTTATCGCTCACAGTGAACTTAGTGTTGGATGTAGCTTTGATTCTAATACGGAATATATCTTAAACGATTCTGATGTGTTTTCTTCTATATAAAGTTTCCAAGTTATCCAAACTATCGTTTGTTTGTCTTTTTTCCCTTTAATATAGACCCTTCTCCACCTCAGTATGCATGGTTAGAGCCTAATGATCAGTTTTCACTTCGTTTGACATGGCTGCCACCATCGAAACCAAGCGGGACTATTGATTCTTACCTAATATGGATTCATATTATCCAAGATAATCCTGAACAGTATTTTAAACGAGATTTCTGCATTCATAGTGAGTTGTTTACCACCTTTTTTTGTCATCTTTACTATTACTAAATATTTTCTCTGTCAATATACAATATAAGGCTTTTGCGCTAAATCGTGTTGTACGTAGGTGCTATACAACGTTCGATGTCGAAAACCGACCGACCGACCGATACAACGTTTATAATGTATAAAAGTAAATATCAAATTAGGAAATGGAATGTAAGTGGGTTGTTCCTGAAGTCATTTGACGCTTGATTGCTGAATAGTGGTACAGGACTCAACTTCTATAATTTCCTAACTACTTATGAAATATTGGTCAGTTTTGTAGCGTAATTCTATATTTAGTCGAATCTTGACAAGTAAGTTAGCATTATTCGATGAGAAATTCAATAAGATGTTGAAAAAAGCTTTGGTTTTCTTAGGATTATTTTCATTTTATCAATTGGTGGCTGCAATGAAGACTAGTTTCTTGAGAAGTTTTGGTGAATGCTTTATTATTTGTAACCTACACTGATAGTGTAAAATATTGACATGTATCCCATTCGCCTAATTTCAGTCAGTTAGTTCTTGATTTGAAACCCGTCCTGCTTAATTAAGCCTAGGAGATCCAGTGGTGACATAACCCCCATAACATACAATACACCTAGTTTCTGCATAGTCCACTTAATGAAAAGCCTCCTCCTCCATGTGATCTGGATTTTTACGTATAATGGGAAGTAAGCAGTTGAATGATTACATTTTTTAGCGGAGATATGAACAAACAAGTCTACCGACACAAAACCGTATACATAAGTTTGTTACTTTTCGCAACAGCGTAAAGTAGAAGTTGTAGAAGATGAATAATGGTTCTAAAATACACAAATTTGTATGTGGGGAGAAAACAATTAAACAATGTTTTCAAGTATCGGTTTGATCGGTTCCAAGTTCAATCAGTGATTGATATCAGTTAAAGAACAGTTGGAAACCAGAGTGTTAAACAGTCTGAAACTCTTTAGCAGTACACACCGATGACCTCAGTGGGGATCAGGGTCAGGGTCTTCAAGTTACAAGGTGAGCCTGTTGACTATTCAGCTGAAGAGTACCTAACTAGGATGAAATAGATATCCAATACTCTCTCTGGTTTTCAACAATTCTCTAACCGGTGTCAATCACTGATCAAATATGAAGTTAAATACTAGTTAATGCTTATGAGTGTATACATTTGCGTCTTTTTAATTGATTTTGAAACATGTCACTGAGTTCTTGAAGATCTCATCCATAAAACTTGCATATTCCAATTTGTGACTTCAAAGTCGCCTCATCAAGCTTCTTAAACTTATTTAAAACATGATGGCCGTTGTACCAGAGGATTCAGGTTAAATCCCTAGTATACCTAAACTTTTCTGTTGAAATTATTATTATTATTATTGAATGTACGAAATAGAGACAGTTATGGGTTAGATGGTATTTCCCATACATTAATTCCCTGAACTCTTGTCTTATATTTCACTTGTTGAAAACAAATTTTTTTTTACTGTATTCATTATACAAATTAGCCATAGATCATACTTATTCATCATAATTTTATCTTTCTGTCAGTATGCGCAGAAATCGACAACGAAGTCAACATCTTGTGGTCTACAGAGATAGCCTTTTTCATCATTCCGATTATTTATAAACCAGAAATTTTGATGAGGTGATTTTTGTGCTGGCTTTGTAAATCTTTAAAAGGCTTTTATAAATTAATGAAAATAAATCAATATTATTCCTACTGTCACTTCAATTAATAATTGATTGCTGATATCTCTGGTTAATCACCGACCAAAACTGACAATATTAAACCCAAATGTCTAGCAATATATTTCAATGTTGTGTGCATCAGTAATGCTGTTTTTTTATAGCGGTACAATATAATATAACCTGTGCATGAAGTATTCTGTGCCTTGTTTGTCGGAATAATTTTTATCACATATATGTCGATAATAACACTTAATCCAGTATATTTCGTATATGCTACTGTGGTATTCAATTAACACTAAGGTATATTACTATAGTCTGAAAAGGCTGTTTTATATTAGTTAACGCTTCACTTTATCTTGTGATAACTACAGGAGAATCAATCATACTAATTTAATGTTCAAGATTCTACAATTCTTAGCTCTATGAAAATTAAGTGGAGTTTAGAAAGAGAAAAAGTGAAAGAATCATGTAGCTTTAATAGTCACGCAAGAATGTATGGGGTATAATCATCTATAGTCGTATGTATTTCTTGCCTTGAAGGTGGTTGTCGGCTCCATCACACCAATATCTAACCATGAAAGTGTTGTGGAATTGTGTTGCACTAAACAAGACACTTTTCCTGAACTTATGCACCACGTATGACTTATGGTAGAGCTGTTGTCTGGCAGCCGTGTTTAACCAACGCCATCATTGTCATTTGATTTTAGTAATATAGGCACTAATGAGAGTTACTCTGTTAGTTTCGATGTTTGGGGATTGAATTACTACAAGAAAACTATTTGATTTATTTAAAGTACGCAAAAACTGATAATTCGAGCAGAAATTTAAGTGCGTCTGGCGTGCATTTCCCTTTTTCATATGTAAGATAATGCCTTGACTTCTATTTTAAGGATGACTAGTAAGGTGGTTATGTGTTTTGATGTCATTTTTTAATTTTTCTACTTTCTTCGTTTCACAACTCTTGAGTGAAGAGTGAGCTGTATCGTATAAATTGTTATTACTACTAGTGGTATACTTGATATACATTTTTTGATGGATGTAATTGTGACCAGCAATCTTAAATCATGTAAACTTTTATCAGATACTAAACGCGCAATTTCTTCACCAATTTATCTCTTGTCTGTGTTGAAGAAGGGAACCGAGCACATCTGACTTCATTTAGTGTAGGTTATGTACGAAAATTCGACAATACTTCACCTAGCTAGCGTCTTGTGTGAGGAAAATATTGTCAAAAAAAACTAAGTAAATGATCGGATTTCCGATCATATGCTTACTGTTGTATCTTTGCCCCGGGCGACAACTGCTACCTTGTCGCGGTAGTCGGCCTTGAATACGTCAGTGACGCAACAGGCTACACTGGCTGGGACTTATGTTCCTGCAGGTCCTCTCGTGTCAGGAAGGTTGTTTGGATAGCGGTTAGACTAAGAGCAGTTACTATGGGGAGGGGCATGAGTTCCAGAATCCAATTGGATCAAATGCCGTATGAACCTGTATTGGTCGCTTGCAACCATGAGAACGTAGCTGCTGGCTCTGCTCCGCTGCCTTGCGGATCAGACTCTAAGTCAAAGGCTGGGGGGAAGGGTGGCCCCTTAAGACAACCACATGTTTCGGTCTGGGCACCTGGGCGGTATCTCAGCCCTCACACAATCAGTGGAATGAAACAACGAACTATCAGTTGTATCTTTGTTGTAAAACTCTTAATATCATTCCTATTAATGACAGTGCTTCCAGTTTCAATCTGAAATAAGTTAGGTATAAAGTAGGTGTTTTTGAAATGTGACAACTGCACAAGTTATCGCAAGTGGTAAAACAAAGTTTTGCAGTCAAATATGTTGTTGGGTTATGCAATTGTCAATAGCTTCTTCTGTAAACGGAATAATGTAAAAAGTGATTGAAGCTGTGACTGGGATAACTGGGACATACTTTGCCCATCCAATGCTACCATTTGTGCGATTGTGTAGCGCTCACTGAAGTCTGTCTATAAAAATATTCAAAATTATTCTGTTGGTATGCATCTAAAGACAAGTCTAATTTAAACAGTTCGTTTGTTTATTTTCGAATTTATATGGTGTTATGACCTAAGTCTCCAAATGATATGATTTCTTCGACAGTTGATATGACCAAGTGGACTTATGCGTGGGTATAATAATAATAATACTGACGCAATGATGAACTCAACTGATATGCTAGATACGCCCATCCATCCGTGGTACCTTCTGCTTCACTAAGCCACGTAAATATTAAAAGACAAAGACTGGCCTGTGACTGTTAGGATACGATTTTATTAAGAAAAACACGTCACATTTATATATTTTTTACCACAATAAAATCGACCCAAGGCAGTGGAAATAGATTGTTACAAATGAAAGGCGATTCGGCTAAGGTAGGTGAAAAATAAATATCCTGATTGGTTGACGATTTGACCAAGACAGTCATCCGATCATACGGTGAATCATAAGATAATAACTATTTCAAGCTGATTTCTATCATATAGTGTTTTCGGTCGCATGGTCGTTGTTTAGTTATTATTTGGATTAAGTGTTGAGTTATTGTTTACAGAGTGAAGGTATTCATGCTTTATTCTTATGTAAGTCGTGATAAGATGTATGCTTATTACTACAGATTTTTCCCTGCTGCACGTTTTACGATTCTTAGTAATATTATTTTACCTTTCATCAGGAATACATATACTCCTCACTCAGGTGAACATTTGGAAATCACTCACGTCAACCGGTAGTCCTTGCTAGTTTAAGTGTGAATTAGACCAACTTATTCTCCACTTTCAAAATTATGTAATATCATAATTGATATATACGTTAGATAAAAACTTTCATCAATCTGCTTTATTATTATTATTATTATTTTAGAACCTAACTGGTTGCAGTCGAATTGGCATGAAAGTTTACCACTGAAGCAAACAAATCAAGTGAAATTTAAAAATCATTTTTGTGATGCTTGTTTGTCTTGCCCAAATCTTTATGAAATTGAACAACTTTCAAAGTGAGTGATTAATATTCTTCTTCAAACTTTCATACTAACGGTAGTGTTTATAATCTTCATATCAACTGTATGCTTCGCGATTTCTGCAGCATATATATTGAAGAAACCCGTACAGTTTCGCAATTTGAAATCACCAGTTACTCAACTGGTTGTTATATATGGCGATATGAAGAATGTTTGGTATAAACGATAACGAAACTTCTGTTTACATTGCCTGAAGAAAAACAAAGCTGGTGCCTTTACCGAAGTCATCTTCTGGATCAGGTCTAAAGTTTAGGCCGATCGACATCACGACCCCATTTTAAAAAAACTATAGGGAAACTTCTCTTGCATGTACTTAAACCGTCTTTGAAATCCTCCAATGACTCAAAGCAATTTGCTTAAAAATGCAGTAGAAGCCCTTTAGGTGCTGTCATTGTACTCCGTCACAATATTGTTTTGAGTCTTGATAAAGGCGCAAAATTTGTTCGAGCCTCTTTTTTAGACTACACTGCTGCTTTTAACTCTATTCCTGGGGAAATTCTTGGTTACAAAGTGGCTGTCTTATTTTTCGAGCAGAAAACAACATACTGTTTTAAGTGGAAAGTACTCCACTTCTTCGCTAACGGAAACTAGTGTGCCTCGAGGCGTTGTACTCTCTCCATTTCTTTTTTTTTGTTTCTTTTTGCATGACGTTCTGTATTCTACCAAAGCTAATTTCATTAAATATGCCGATGATCTGACCATTTCTGTCCCAGTAGTTTTTGCATTGGATTGTTCTTATATGAATAGATTCTTATCTGAAGTTAACAAATGGTCTCACTTAGGTGTTCTTAAACTAAAATCGATCTAAATGTCATATTTTCGATTTCAGTTTCAGATACGAACAAGAGTTGCGTAAGCTGATTCAGTCCAATGATTGTTGTAATATTGACAGCACTGTGATAGGGAGTAAATCGAATATCTCCTGTCTCGGTATCACTTTCTCTTCGAATCTCTGTTGGTCGTCTCATATCCTGTTAATGTCCTAAAAAAGTGTTCATTTGACTTATCACATAAAGAAGTTGAGACTTTCTGGCATAACTCAACCATTTCTCTCACAATTTATTAATTCATGTATTCTGCTCATTCTCCTTTATTGTTCGCCATTATTCTTCCCTGGGCTTCTCAAAGAAGACTATTTCATATTACATAGAACACTCAAGACTGTAAGTAGGGTTAGTGGTGTGCCTTTGACTCAACTAACTGACATTCTTGCCAGTAGGCACTTGTGTTCATGCAATCAGCAGGTTTAAGTTATCGTGTTTGATACTGAACATCCGCTTTATTCTCAACTCTTTCCTTATATCTCTTCGGATAAAACTAGAAGAAACTTCATAAGAATTTATGCTCGTACAACAAAATACAAAAGTTCTACCATACCGTATTTATTATTATTGTTTCCTTCAATTCCTAGAGGAACATAGGGCTTCACCCGTGCGTCTCCATTGCGTTCGGTTCTCTGCTAGAGTCTTCACCTGGCTCCAAGTCTGCCCACACGCTTTCATCTCCTCTTCACAGGACCTCCCCATGTCACACTTGGACGACCAACTCGCCGCTTCCCTTTCGGGTTCCACTCGAGGGCTTGTCTAGTGATGTCACCTGATGGTTTCCTCAGAGTATGACCAATCCATCTCCATTTCTTCCTGCCTATTTGTTTCACAATCGGTTCCTGGTTGGTTCTCCCCCAAAGATCCCTGTTGCTGATCTTTTCTGGCCAGCCATCTGATCTTGAGTATTGAGCGAAGACAACTGTTAATGAAGGTCTGTAGTTTGTTTGAGATGCTCTTCATGACGCGCAATGCAAGTCTCTGATCCGTAAGGTAGCACTTACTTCACATTGGAGTTGAAAATCCGGGTCTTATTTTTGATGCTGAGTGTTGTTGACCTCCACGCAGACTTGAGAGTAGTGAACGCTTGTCTTGCCTTTCCGATTCTTGCTTTGATATCCTCGTCAGTTCCGCCTGTAGTTGAAACGATGCTTCCCAGGTAGGTAAAGGAGGTTGTTTCTTCCAGGTTCCTTCCATATATGCCGACTGTTGTCTGTTGTTGCTGTTGGTGGTGTTGGCCAGGAATTTTCATCACCTCTGTTTTCTCTATGTTCACCTGAAGTCCTATCTTCTCTGGATGCTTCTCTTGCCAACTTGTTGCTTTTGGATTGCATATCTTCCAGTTTGTGGGAAATCAGACATATATCATCGGCGAAGTCCAGATCCTCCAAGTGTTTTGTGTGGGTGCAATTTATGCCTGTTTCCTCATTACCCACTGTTTATCGCATTATCCAATCTACTGCGAACCGTATTTAGCACGGGTTTTGTATGAAGAGTCAGATGTCAGCAAAGAATTTACCAACTTTTTAAATCAGTTAAATGAACTGTGAAATATCAACAAAGATTATTATTACTTGTATTATTTATTGTATTTGTTTGATAATTCACTGTCCCATTAACTTACAGTTTTTGTGATTTTATTATTTGTTCAACATATTATATATATATATATATATCAATGAAAGGAACTAAACTTTTGTAATATGTTTAAAAACGTTGAAAATCTCATTCTGTATGATTATTATTGTTTGGAATAAGATGGTTATTATCGTTATTATTAAAATTAGGTATGGATCGCTATGACCGGAACCAACGGTAATGCTGTGACTAGAGCTCGATAGTGGATGGCAATAAGTAATTTTTCTAAAGACCAAATATCAATAGGCATTTTTAATTACTCCTGAAAAAGTAGAACCAACTGAAAAAGGAATGGAAGATGGACTAGTCCTAGCTGGGAGGGGGGATATTTGATCTCTTTCATACCAAAATACATTATGCAGAAATATTTTTCATCTTGGAAATCAGAACCATTAAATAACTAATTGGCTGCATAAGTTTGAGCTTCAAGGTTGTTCAATCTTATTATGATAAATAGTCCATCTTGGACTGATGTTTCAAATTTATTCACACTATCTTTAGCTGTTTCTTATTGGGTAGATATCAGGAATAGGGAAATGGTTACTTTGTTCATCTGAAAACATATTTTGGTGGTATACTAAAGTTCTGAGGGTTGAAGGAAAGCAAATGCTTATAATAGTAAAGTATACCACAAGGCTTTTCAAAATTTAAAATATGTGACGCGAAAGTGAACAATTTGTCTAACGTTCAAATGTTGCAAACAGTGGATAAAACTGTTGAATAACTGAAACATTTAATGTCGATATTTATGACTGGTATAAATAACTGTCAGTCCAAGTGTTGGTTTGCAGGGATAGAGATAAGTTTCAGGATTTCATCATCAACTGGTATCGGTTAGAGGACTACTGGAAAACCAACAGGTAGTACTGGACAGCTGTTTCGTCAGCCTAGTTTGGGAATCATCGGCAGTACGCATCCACCACCAGGTTTCGAACCCAGGACCTTCCAGTTACAAGGCAAGCTCGTATACCATTCAGCCACTGGGACCCGATTCAATGGCCAGTCCATGAATTCTGACTTCTACTAATTCATGATTTCAATCAGTGGTCAAACTCGAAAAACATATCTAATCCTAACAAATCAACCTATGGAAATTGCATAGTATTTTCTTCACTACTGTATATTTAAGATGAAGAAAATTATTGGACTAATTCATCAAAAAAATTACATAAAATTAGGATTGTACAACAACACTGCAGTTAATGAAGTCTATGAAAACGGTCCCCCCCACCGGACCACGTGTTCTGCTTTTCTTACGTGCCTAAATAAGGATTTTCCATGGGAATTTTTATTCACATTTCAATTTTACAATAATTGAATACCTGAACTGAAGAAGTGATTTTTAGTTCTCTTTTTAATATCCACCTATATTCTCTGTGTTACTGTAAATCTAATCATATCAATTATGGAAGAACATATTGGTTTCCTCAGATCAACACATTGTTTCTACGTATCTGTTTATATTTGGCTAGAGCATTGTGTTAACTGGCTGTAAATATAATATTAATATAATAATATCTTTTTACCTGACCGAAAGTCTAAATAATTACCATAATCCATACAAATGGGATTGAGAGGCTTTTAAGTTTTGATTGTAATATGATCCAGAAATATTAACCTGCGGTGCCTGATCATTTTCCATGCACATACTGCAATCTTTATATTATTATGATGCTATGAAATCAGACCACGAATTGGCATCAGTTAGAGAACCATTGAAAATCAGGGAGCAGCGGACAGCTGTTCCGTCCTATTTTGCGACTCTTCAGCAATGCACACCTATTACGCCATGGGAGATAAAATCCAATACCTTCGGATTGCGAAATGACTCCATCGACAATGCAGTCGCTCAGAAGCAATGTAATGAATCATGAATTCTAAGTTTACCAATTTGCAAAGAGTCCCAATCAATCAAATATAAGATCGATGAATAATACATCAATTGTGAGTCAGTTGAAGTTAGTAATTTCTTCCTTACTTAGTCTGTCTTCTGCATTTGTTATTCATTTCTATTTGAATCATACCTAAAGTATTCATTGTATTTTTTTTTTTTGACAATCAGTTTACAGACAGCCTCATTTTCACATGGAAAACACTGGCCAACTTCTGTGAGCAGATGGATGACAGATGATTTTGGAAATATTTTACCAGTTCAAGTTGGTAATACTTTATTTTTAAAAAATAATTTGTTTTGTGAATATGTTTTATATTTTGTTATTAAAATTGATAATAATAATTTGTGTTTGAACAAGGTAATCAAAATTAGTTTACAAATGATGTGCGCGTTAACTGGCTTACCTGAGTACGATGTGATTGTATCGACCAAAACCGACTTATTGTGGTCTGAAAGAAAAGAAACTGATCTTTGCGTCCTACTGTATAGCTGACAAAACTTTCTTGGGAGACGTACATTCACAAAACACCCTAAAGAAAACAAAAAGACGATCATTCGTGATTAGATCTATGTGGTTCTGTTGAATAATAATAAAATCGAAAACTCAAATTACCTCTACATTGCAGTTAGGCAGCTATACAGAAAAATGCAAAATACGTACTTGGAATTCAAGTAGAATATTCCGAACAGTGTGGGATCATAAACTCTGTCCACAAGAATCACATACCAACATTTCCGGCAGACAGTCCAAGGTCAGAATGACTTTGATTCATTCAAACGAAATCACATCGTAAAACAACACATTATCAATATACACACAAACACAAAAAGAAGCATTAAAATTAGAGATCATAGGGGGACAAAGACAAATAATAAGGATGAATTGAACATATAGTAAGCAAATGTTTAGAACCGTCTAGGAGAAAAACGGATAATAATTACAAAGTTAGTTGAAACATCCAAATAAGTGTAAGTATTGTAATTAAATCTTTCAGAAGGGAATTTCCAAACAGTTATCTCGTTACCGACGAACTAGTTGTTCCAAAGAATCAGTCGTCTCCGTATATTTTACCACTTGGAGTATGACGCTTACAGCTACACGCTTAACATGAAGGACAAACAATGCTTCACTGTTAGCATATCATTTATTTGAAACTTCTGGTTACCACTGCTTACATTCTGTTTAATAAAGTAAACCATTATATTCTTCCTTTTCAATTGACTTATAAGCCCTAATTTTCCTGTTTATGGTTTTATTGTTAGTCGGTGAGGTTACTTCACTTGAATATTTGAAATCTGGAACAATCGGTTTAATTGTGAGAAAAAATGTTTCACCAAATAAATATGTTTCAAATTATCAAGAAACATGTATCCCAGCAAGTAATGAGAATGTACAACTTTTGACAGGATTTTCACCGTTCACCAGAGTGCTTATTGAAATACAAGCATGTTTGGTAGGTTCACTTAATCTTATCTGTTTTACTTATGTATTCTATTTAATTTGTACATTTTTGAGATATACGTATATAGGGATGCTACGTAGGTCTTTTGTTTTAATTTTTAGTTCTCAATTAGTATGTATATTGATAAATGCTGCTGTACTTACGTGGCATAAACAGTCTTGATGCAGTAGCTGTGAGTAGTAACACATTATACTCACCTGCATGTGTAGTTAGCTAATCTAATGTTATATCTTCAAGTAGCCGAAGACATTGGCTGGTGGTCGCGCTATGTCGTGAATTGGCAGAAGTTAGAATTCATGGACTGGCCATTGAATTGGGTCCCAGTGGTTTAATGGTCTTCAAGCTTGCCTTGTAACCAGGTGGTCCTAGGTTCGAACTCCGGTAGGTGCGTGATGCTGAAGAGTCCCAAACTAGGACGGAGGAAACAGCTATCCAGTACTCCCTGCAGGTTTTCCAATGGTCCTCTAACCGATGTCAGCTCATGATGAAATCCTGTAATTAATGTTATATTTTTTTTATAAGACAAATTCTCATCCTACACGCTTCTCCATCACAGGCATCTACCTAAGTGAGATTACGGGTTTCCTATTTGACTGCATTAAACCCGTTGACCGTAACGCCTTCTATTCTCATCTGAAAGAAGTACTGACACACTTTAGGCGTTTTAATGAGTTAGCTTCATCTCTACAAGAGGTAAGTAGATGATAACATTTATGATGTAGATGTTGATGTAGACGATATCCTCATCATTTTGAGCTCAGATCACCTATCAATAAAAATTTAGTCTAAAACGCGAATCAGACCTGATTTTCCTATTCCTGGATTTACTACTTACTAAAAGATCAAATAGTCCTATCCAGAAATGATCCATATACAGAAAACCAACATGAACTGGACTGTTTATTGATTTCGAAAGCTGTATCCCACTGTTCAAAAGACAAAACTAAATATGTTTGTTATGTTTAAGAATTCAAAATATCCTGTCATGGTTACTTTGGAGAGCAAATTGGAATCTCTGTTTCATATCTTACTAGGAAATGAATACGCGCTTAAATTTATCGACTTTAAATTTCTGGAAAACTACTACTCCTATGCAAATTTTTCATTAACTTATATTTCAAGGGTGAGGTGTCTTAAAAATCCCTGCAGCTATCCTGAGAATTACTATTCTTCAGCAGACAATTGATCCAGAAAGGTGTTAAAAACAGAATATCACACCTAAACACCAAAATGAATCTTTCAGTTCATTAGTTCCTGTGGAACAATGTAAGGTTTATATGCACATTTCCAAACACTATCTAGCTTGGTTAGTCAATGGCTGTATTCTCGAGCACACTGTAAACCTCAGACCTTCTGGGTGATTGCTTCCAAGGGGTCGACAGGATTTCGTAATATCGTGCTATAGAACGTCAAATACGCCATTTATACTTATTTAATCATGAGCGTTACTTTACTTTAAACCTAATTTCTGTCTTGGAAAACTATTCGTTTATTTGCTTACCATATCCACGACCAGAGGAATATTCTGGTTATATTTGCTATAAATACAGAGAAGAAATTTCCCAATTAATTCTTTGTTGTAAATTACTGAGTCATACTCGTATTACTGTTCAATTTTCACGAATTCACTACTATTGTAATTTGGACTGCCTACATGAATTCTGAAAGGTAATAAATTTATTTATCTCACTTTATTTATTACAAATAGGATTATCGTTCAATTTCACAAATTAAAACAGTGGACACAAATTGTTCTCTTCCACCGCCTTGGGTAAATGTAAAGCCTGGTGCATACTTAGATCTCAATCAACTTCACCATCAATGGTCAGCGTGTGAGTATAAGCTTTGCAGTGCAAGATCTACTATAATCAATCGTATAAAGCCTCAAAGTATGTTCAGCAGATTACTTGTAATAATTCACATTGCATATTTCTTATATTAATGAAGAAATTAGTTTGGAAATTTTGATTGTTTTTAAAAAACCTACACCGCTACTGAATTTTTCTTGTGGCATGAAATTCAAATTCTTAAGTGCCATTAATTGCTCATAAATTTTATAGATGTTTTGCACAGTTGTAACTCACTTGTTTTCGGAACACAACTTCCAACAAAGGCTTTTTTGCTGATATCCTGCAATCTTTAGCTTATACACCTTAAGTACACTATATGATTTAGTAATTGAAAAATTCAGGTATAGTATGATTGAATCCCATGGAATTTATACATTGATGAAGCAAAGGCGTCACTGAGTGACACTGTGAACACGTCATCAGTTTTATAGTGTAACGGTAGTAAACGAAGAGAATTGCTTACTTGCAATTGGGTATCTCTGTATAGCCAAATTATGTACACCTTATCTTCAACGCACCATTTACACATATCTTCTGTGTTGTGCTACTTCTGCCCTTCATATAGTCTTTCTTTGCGTTCCTTTAACGTCTCCCATGTATCTCCACAACGGTGTACCATTTGCCTTCTCCCTGCTATTCAATGTTTTTATGCCGATGAACATCTCTTTATATATATATATATATATCGTATCAGCAGCACCCGCCACCATAGTTTTAATTTTGTAAATTAGTTATGTGAACGCATTCATAAATACATTATTTACCTTTGTTTCGGTTAACTTTTATTTCATCTCAGTTGAAGTTGACAATATTCCTGTGTCAACAATTCATGCATTTTCGTATGGTCCAGGTAGTATTCGTATTATATGGTCGAATCCTATTCAGCCTAATGGTGTAATTATACATTATATGCTACGTTACAGACAGAAAAAGCATGATAACCTTCATCAAGATAATCATTCCTCTGTAGATATAGTAAGTGAAGAAGTTAATGCATTTTATTTTATTGTGAAATTTTTCTTGTGTATACCAACTTCTCAATTTATATAAATGTATGCCTGTGTCCATTGGAGGGTCAGTCTTCAACCACTCTTGCTTAGGTTTTAATAGTCATACAGTATTACCAGTCATCATATAATTTGCGTAGACAATTCTGTGCCACATAAACATTTCAGTGGTAGTTTCCACCAGGACAAAAGTGGTATTAACGTTTAAGGAAAGTTTAATAGCTATCGGTTATGTTTTAAATAAGGGCACTTTTGATTCTGATTTAGCAATAAACTCGACTGAAAGCTGCTGCCTTAATATGGTATAGTTGAGCTAGAATATTGCCATGTTTCAACAAGTTACACTAATACAAACCGAATTTTGGCTCTTTCATTTCTTAACTATTGATACTACTTAAATATCTCATTCTTTCTGGGAATAAAGTGATTAAGCACCGTACTATTTATCTGCGTAGGGTTGTTTTCCTCAAAGATGTCCGTTTTCTCCACTTTTATTTTTGTGAGTAGGAGATACACCTGTGAACGTCTTTTTTCTACATGTGATCTCTCTAGAAGTGACCTTTTCAAAGGTGTTACTTTATTTGCCTTTAGATTGTGCAAAGGGTATGAGCTTGTTAGACATAGAAATTGATAAAATATGGTGTCTTATTTCAAAGTATTTTGGATGTGCTCTTCGCCTTCCAAGTGTAACCAGCTAATTCAATGTTGATCTGCATCAGTATTTCTCCTGAGTGTCTGGAAAGTGAAGTGGTTAAATGCATTCACCATTTCACATCACTGCATGTTTATGTACTTGATATTGAACTACATTGCTAACTGAAGAAATATCATATTATATGACTTTTTTGAAAGGTGTTTAGACTGTTCATCAGATTAGTGGTTGAAATCCTTATACTAATGAGTAACAGATTCACCAGTGTTATACATTAACAGATATTGTTCATATATATACACCTGAATAATGTTTAAAAATATAGTTTAACTTATGTAGTAACAATTTCTAACAAGGATTAAAGGCATATACATAATTCTACTGGGGGGTTCCTTAAAACTTTGGCATTTAGTGGGGGAGGGTGGAATCTTGACAAAATAATGCAAAATTGTTTTCAGTGAACTAGGTTTTAAAAACGCTCATTATCCTTGGAACCTTGAACGTTTTCACTTGTGTTAATTGTGTCACTCCATATCTGTCTTATACACACTAAGGTATAATTGTAAATCTGTTTACTGTTTCGAAAGACGGAAACTTAATAGGTATATATATGTGACCTTCTGAACTTCAATAATTTTTAATACTTTGGTCTTACTAAAAGTGAGTTATGCTATGATGTCAGCAGTGACTCTACACTAAGAACTGTTACAAATTCAGACTAAAACCTTGTTAGTACTAGGCATAATCTTTCAACTGTTTCTTATAAAGGTGTGTATGTTGCTTCCAATCATTCTTGTAGACGTACACTATTTAGGCTGATTATCTATACACAGAGAGTTACAAGTTGTACTGCTAAGAATTTCTAATTAAATAGTTTATTTTCTTGTTTTTATTCTTCAATAGTAGGGGAATTTGTTTATAGAAATTTAAGCAATAGATAACAGCAAGGTGTAATTCATTATTGCTTATACCAGATGACCTAGATTATTATCATATTATTATTATCCTCTTGGGTTCCAAGTGGAACATAGGGCTTCACCCGAACATCTCCACTTTGTCCTACTTTCTGAGGTCCTCTTCAGTAGGCCCCACTATTGTCCATAGTCTCTGGTCCCCTCCACTTCACCGCCGAACACCTAACTCGTCGTTTCCCATGCGAGTTTCACTCGAGCGATGTCATGCATTGTGCGTGATGTCACCCAACGGTCTCCTCAGCGTGTGTCCCATCCATCTCTATTTTCTTCGGAATATTTGTTGAGCAACAGGTTTTTGGTTGGTTATATTCTAGAGTTTCGTGTTGCTAATTCTTTCTGGTCGTCCATCTGATCGTCAGTATGGATCCAGCAAAGACAGCTGTTGATAAAAGTCTACAACCTGTTTAAAATACTTTTCGTGACGCGTCAGCCAAGTTTCTGACCCATATAGAAGAACTGACTCAATATTAGTGTTACAAATCCGAATTTCGTTGTTTATGCTGAGTTAGTGCAGGAGATTTCCAAACTGATTTCAGAGTGATGAAGGTCTGTCTTGCCTTTCCGATCCCGGTTTTGATATGCCTCCTCCGTTCCGCCTGTAGTGTTGAGACGAAGCTACCTAGATAAGTGAACGAAGTTGTCACTTCAAAATTCCTCCCGTCGATGGTGGTTGTTGCTTGTTGTTGTCGGTTGGTTATCTCTATCACCCCCGTTTTCCCTATGTTCACTTTAGGCCCTACCTTTGCTGCTTCTTCAGACAGTTTGTTGCTTTTCGCCTGTAAGCCTTCGAGTTTTTGTGACATTAGACGTAAGTCTTCCGCGAAATCCAGGTCTTCTAGAATCTTCTTGTCGGTTCAGAGTATTCCTGTCTTCTTGCTACCCACAGTCTGACGCATAATCCAGTCGACTTCAATTGGGAATATCATCGGTGGTAGTAGACAGCCTTGTTTTACTCCTGTATTCACTTCAAAGGCTTCTCTGCGTTTTCCATTTTGGACCAGTTGACATGTGGCATTGTGATATAGCAGTTGGATGAGGTTCATAAAGATTTGGTCACTCACTGTACGCCGTAGTGTTGAAGTAGTTTCCAAATTACTTCTCGGTCAACGTTGTCGAAGACCTTTTCAAAGTTGATGAAATCGAAGTAGAGGTTTGACTGCCATTCTATGCTCTGTTTTATGATGATGCGTACATTTACACTTTGATCCACACATAATTTGCTTTTTCTGAATTCAGCTTGTTTTGGGCGGAGTTCTGCATCCAGTGCACCTTCTAGTCTCTCCAGGATGATGCGACTTAGTATTTTACTTGACATGGAAAAGAGGATTATTCCGCGCCAGTTGTTGCAGAGGCCTAATTCTCCCTTCTTTGACAGATAACGGAGATTAAAATTGTAAATTGGTTAAGTTGGTCACTAAGCTAAATAATACGATACACTACAGTTTACTTTTTCTCGATATTAGCTACTTAATGCCTATTGACTGCTAATATTTATGAACAACTTCAGATGGTCACTATTTATGTTGTACTTCATATCTTTTCAGTTGACTATTCAGTAAAGTTATAAAGTCTAAATATCTGTTTTTTCTCTTTTGTCAATGTCAGCAGTTCTGTTCTATTCGGAAGGTTGTTGTCAGTAAAGCAGGTATCTATCTGTAGTCTTATTGCTTATGCTATATATAGGTCATAGGATTGTAGTCCCAATAAAACACGTGTTTGTTTATTCATAAATATTCTTATGAGCATTCTTTTTATATCCGTATATTTGTTCTATTTATTTTTGGTTTCAGTCTGTACCATGGTTCACAAAATGTGTATCACTACAAGATTGGAAAACTGTTCCTTCTCAGCCTACAACTTCACTAAATCTAAGCTCATCTTTTGATTTTCACGAAAAACTGGTGACACGTGACAAACGACATCAACAACTAGGTAATATTACAGAAGGTGGTGGTATTGTTATCAATGATCTTTCTCCAGGCAGTTATGAATATCAAATTATGGCCATTTCACTTGCTGGCAATGGGGAGTGGAGTCCAATTAAAATATTTAATGTTCCTGTCTACTCAGTTCTTCATGGTCGTATTTTAAATCGTAAGTTTTTGATTACTTTTAATTTGGTTATCTCATAATTTCTTAAATTATTTTTGATATATGTATATATATATATATATATATACATGAACATACACGCTGTGTGGTGACTCCACTTTATGTTAAGATTTCTGTGTAGTCATTGGTGCAGAAACTTCGTGATCATAGGGATAGAAATTTTTTTTCCTTCACGTTCCCCAGTGGAACATAGAGCTTCAAGCTAGTGGCTTGAGGTTTCTGTAGTAGTGTTTATTTTACAGGATGGGGTTGCTAGCCTCATGCCCAACCTTTCCTCTTCACCAGCATTATTTCTGGCTTAGCGAGGTTTGGGAGTGCGTTAGCCGGGCATCGAACCCCGGACCATGTGCATGGTCGGCGAGCGTCCTAACCACTATGCCACCGACGCACTGGGATACAAATGGAATACGTGAATAGTATATAACTTACTACTATAGCATCCATTAATAACTCTTTTTTAGTGTCTATTTGACAAGCTATAAATATAAGAAGGAAGTGTAAATTCGAAGCTTTGGTTGGGTTAACATATATAGCTGTTATTATGCCTTAGAATTATGTTGTTTTTTTAACTGTCTTATTAAAAAAACAGTTAAAAAAAAAAAGAATGTCGGTGGCACATACGGAATTCCGTGCCAGCGAACCGACAACGGTGACCGTCTTCTACAGTTCTGTTCAGATAATCACTTGTTTCTTGTAAGCACTAACTTCAAACACAAGGAGAGACACTGTCTTACCTGGCGACCTCCATCATCAAACCAACGCTGGACACAAATAGACCACATAGCAATAAGCTATCGTTGGCGTGGGTCGGTAGGGGATTGTCGCTCCTTCTGGAACACTTGTGTAGATACCGATCACGCACTGGTCCGCGCTCGTGTGTGCTTACGACTGAACGGACGTAGGAAACAGCTGGCGGTAAAACCATCACGTCCCCAGCTCGATCAGGAAACTAAGTCTCTATTTGAGGAAGAACTAGCTAAACACATATCTGAGTTTGACAGCTGCGCTCATCCTGAAGAAGCCTGGAAGAATATTCAATCAGCCATAGATACAGCTGTAAAAGCTGTGAATAAGGTAAATCCAAAGGTGAGTAAAAACCATTGGATTTCGACTGCCTCATCCGAACTGATAGATGCTAGAAGACTTATTCCGGCGAGCTCCGAATTCAATGAGGAGCGAAAGCTGCACAAAAGGAAACTTACGAAAAGTCTTCGCAAGGACCGTGAACAGTGGTGGTTGACAAAGGCGAAAGAGATGGAAAAAGCATCGGCGATAGGCAACACTGGACAACTCTTTAGACTCATCAGGGAAACGGGTGGGAGAAGGCAAATCATAAGTGAGACTATTTGTGAGAAAAATGGCTCCTTAATTAGCTCTCAGGATAGACGCCTCGAACGCTGGAAAGAACACTTCGAGGAACAGTTTAACTTGCCTACAGCCACACTGAGCCTCCCCGCCATCCAGTACACACCCGAATGGGACATAGACACTGGCCCGCCGTCTGTAAGTGAGGTCACCAAAGCTATCTGTAATTTGAAACGAGGCAAAGCGGCAGGACTTACTTTTTAAACTTTACTTCGGCTATCTCCTACGGGAGGATGAGCCGGCTTCATAAACATCTCGAATCATCGCTGCCCAGGCGCGGCGATCTCATGAAGTTTCATGGGAATTTTGTACGAGTGATGTCCCCAGAATCGCTCGGCCTTTTGTTCGAGAGTGCAGCTCTAGCCTTTACACAACCAAGTGTGACCTACAAGGCAGTAGGAGTGGAGTAGGGAGTCCACTATCCATTGGCAGCCGGTGACCGGAGTTCGGTTCATACGCCTTTTTGAATGGGGCCAGACATCCAGGACATCCAACAGGCCCTTTGTCCATACGTCTGCCGGTGAGCTCCAGTGAGCTTCATACGCCAGTCGTTGGAGGTTTGGAATCAGGGTTTAACCATCTCCCCTAGACTGTCATCCAATGGACAGTCAACCCGGTGAAGAGCGCCGGGCATCCCCTTTCGCCCTCTCACTTTGGTGAAAACACCTCCGCCACGTGAAGGCAGTGAGTAGGACTTCCTCAGGAGAGGCGATGTAAGACGCCCGGTCATATGGAAGCATTTCAAGAGGTGTGCGGAGGGGTGACCAACCCGCAGCGCAAGGCACCCACCCCCGACCATCCTGAGGCTTTGGAGGCCCGACGGAATTATTCTGGAGGTGTTTAAATATGGGGGTGACATGCTAGTATATAGTTTAACTAAGGTACTAGGTAACGTCTGGGAATCAGAGACGGTTCCATCAGACTGGGGTAAGTCACTTATCATACCAGTATTCAAGAAGGGAGATAAGTCCTCATGTGATAATCATAGAGGAATCAGCCTAACGAACATAGTCTCTAAAATCCTAGGCTCAGTAATCATGCACAGACTAAGCCGAAGTCGGGAGGAACAAACGAGGGAAAATCAAGCGGGCTTTAGGCCAGGTAGAGGGTGCATAGATCATATCTTCACTCTCCGACAGATCCTAGAACATAGACACACTTTTAGTCGTCCAACAATTGCCATATTTCTTGACTTGAAGGCGGCCTTCGACTCCGTGGATCGAGAGGTTCTATGGCAATGTTTGACTATGAAGGGAGTGCCAAGAAAGTACATTGCACTAATCAAGGCACTCTACTCAAACTCACGTAGCTGTGTATAAGGGCTTATGGGGAATTGTCATCTGAATTGATAACAACCAGTGGTGTCCGTCAAGGATGTCCACTTTCCCCTTTTCTGTTTAACTTCATCATAGATATGCTAATGGAAGTATCCTTAACTGAACTTAACGACTTAGGAATCGTCTTGTTACTTGTTACTAGCCACTCACCTGACACCTTTTATAACCTTGAACTGACATTCTACAAATCTGTTATGGCTAATCACCACCATTGCCTCCCATTTCACAATATTTTGTAATTGAATTCAGACTAGCACGTTTGTCACGAAAATACTACTATTTATTTTGCCACTCCATAAAGTAATCTGTTATTCTACGTTAACGAAAATGTAACCGCCACATAACTGGCCATTATTGTAACGACAACAGATATTATATTTTATAATTGTAAGAACCTGATGTGAAATGATTGAAAAGAATATTCTTCGTTCAGATTGATTTTAGTAGGATAGTGATTAGTGTTGGAAGAAATAATGGTTACTGTATAATTCGTATTAATAATCTCTTTGTGCTTTCGTCCATGCTGCCATCCGATTTCCTCCTCAATATACCTCATCACCTCGTAACACTATTCATACCACCGAGTTCAGGTGTGGATGACTATGGGCAATAGGTTTCGTCTACTTCTAAATCTCTGACTTACATTGACAAGAGAAGACATAGGTGATAAGCCTATATGATTATGAAGTGAATAGATAGATATTTTGGCTGCCATTGAATCCGTCCTACATATTAATGTTTGCTATGTGTAGAATATTATTTTCATTATCTATAAACAATGTGTATTCAAAGCTTACATGATCGAAATTTATTACTAATGTACTTTTTTGTTCTGTAAAAATGTTTTACACTTGTAATTTTGCTTTTTATTTTAATGTCTTTCAAATAACAATAATTTAGATCAGAAACTTTTGAATGTTTTCATAATAATAACAAGTGCATTTCTGTTGGTTTGTTCAATTGTTGGAGTTATATGTTATAAAGTACGACGATAGTAAGTTGCTATTTTTATAAAAATGTATATTTGAAGAGTACTCAATTTCCAACAACTCTAACTCTTTGTGGTCATATTTTTTACAAGTTAGGCTATATATATAGATATATGTATGTATACATTGTTTAGTTTGTTAGGGGTTGAAAGCTATCAGTAAGAAGCCCTGAACGTAGTTTTTTGTTTTGTTGATACTCGTGAGCAAGGAAAATCTGCAGCCTCAAAGGGAAATGAAATCCCCTCGGGGGTTCAGACGTGTTCCATCCAGTGCTGAAGTCAGCACTTCTTTCGAGGTTGCACACACATCTGTTGGATGAATGCTGGGAAGCAAGAAATGTAGGTTCAGGTCTTTCTGCCGGTTACTTTCAATCATCAGACATGAATTTATTGTGCACCGTGGGTGATAGTCAGTGTTGCCAGTCACCAGTCTTGGGGACCACATTGCAAACTTGACAGGTAGAAGTAAAAAAAATTAACTCGTGTCATCGTGAAGGTGTTGTGTTCGACATCATAAAGTGGACCAAATATAATGTAAAGGATTCTACAAATGTTTCTTTTGCTAGAGAATTTTCGGTTTCAAAGATACAAAGAATTTGTGAGCATAGACTTTCTGTTAGATTTTATAGGATTTCGTAAATACTATGAGAATATGGATCGGAGGTCACAGATTCTATGAACTGATAATATCTCATTCTCTTTTAATTGATCAAACAGGGTAGTGCAGTGGAAAAGGCTTCTCAACAAGCTGTCTGTATACTTAACTACAGAAAAGCAGGTAGATATTTTAATTTAGAAGTAATCAAACTATTGAAATGATATTGTTCTGACGTTAAGTTATATATTATTCCCCAGAAGGTTAAAAAAACGTGTAAAGATGATCCTGTAGCATTTTATCAGATGGTAGTGTGAAGGTAGAAATATGATGGGAGAAACCTAGGTCTGATGTGAACACGTTATAGCAGTCTGTGAAGTCATCTGATTGTTCACTTCAGTCGTGTGAGGGAATACAGATCGTTTGGTTGTAGTCCACTGAAAGGTGTGTACGGGAACCTGTGGACAAGGCTCAAAAATGATATGAATGGATATGGTTGCATTTATAGCTTATCTTCATGGTTATTGTACTATCTTATTTGTTTGTTCTGTGTATCTTTTCTACTCTTATCTTTTGATTACTTAAACTATCTGGTTGCCTTCTTCTTTTATTACTTTATACCTGATCGATCTTTCTTCGACTATGTCAAACAATGAATACCAAATTGCTATCGCAATGGAAAAAGGCTTATTCACTCGATTCATGCTCATCTAGCTGTCGATTCCTAAATAATACGACGAATGGTTACTTTTTTGCGTATAGGATAGCAAATGGCGCGACAGACGTTCCAGTCGTGTAAAAAACTGGTAAAACAGCCACATGTAACACTGGATATAATATTCCTTTAAATATACACTACATAAATCACATAAGATCATGCACAGCACCAACTACCAGAGAAAAGTCAAAGCTGTACTTGACCGTCTCTGTTGTATCCTCGCAAGTAGGCGAAAATGAAAAAGAATGTGAATTTGTATTCCGATTAGTTATATCCTCACTCGTTGTATCTACTTTTTTCTACTCATCTGAAATATCTGTCTTTCGTTTGCTATTGTATGCGCGAAAACACCTCGAGATTACCTTTATCCTGACTCATTTATGTACCTCAAATAATATAGACCCTACTAAATAAAACAAATAGGTGATTTAAGTCACTTATTCATCCCATGAAATATATAATGTTGAATAAACAAATTAACTAACTGTAACCCTAAGATGTATCAGTTATGTATTTTATTACAGTGAGTAATTCGGATCGGAATGTTTTTTAATTAATTAAAATGCATTATCAATCTGAATAAAGCAAGAACAACAGTTTTTGCAGAATAAAGTGGTACCATCATTTATTTCGTTGGCTTCTCATCTTGCAGGACAAAGTCATTATTAAATATATCTAGAAACAATTTTAACATACTTGCACAGAGTTCATTTTAAACAAAAATCAATCAATATATGCATACAGTAATTATATATATATATATATATATATATATATATATATATATATATATATATATATATTAAACACTATTCCGAACAATAATGATCATACACAATGGAAACTTTCGGCATTACGTATTCAGATGAAAATATCCAGTTACCGGGTCAAAGAAAGACTGATAATAGTTTCTTTCTGAACGCACAAATCAGGTTTCATGCGCTTGATGGAGATGGCTTCAGCAAACTTGAGAAGAATTGAGCTCTTTTGCCTATTGATAATTTTGAACGATTTTGCGACGTCCACCTCATAACCCGTGTCAAGGAGATGCCTGGAGATGACACTGTTTAAAGTATTTTTTTCCCTTTAGACATAAGCTTTTTGGTACATGTTCAGAAAATCGTAGATATGCCATTCTTTCTGTCCTTCCAATGTAACTGCTCCCGCAGATACATGTAAATTTGTATGTACAGTTGGAGTTTACATGAGAAGGATATCTATCGATTTTCGATTGCACCAAAGAGCAAGTTGTTTGATAGACGGGGACGAGCTTAGCTGCAGGATAGGCTCTGGTTAGTGACGTACTCAGTCTTCTGTTGACCATTGCTGCATTGCATTATCAATCAATATGTGTTTAAAATATGCCTAGGACAAATTGTATGCGGTATACATTGTCATTGATGTTGGTTGTTCTGTTTCTTTTTTTCGTTGTTTTTGTTGTTGATAGTTATTTAAAAGCTACTGCATGGACTTCAAATAATCCAGATTATTGTACAATCTATGAAGTTGACGATTGGGAGATAAACAGAAATGATATAGATGTTCTTGATTGGAAGTATCCAATTGGTCGTGGTAGTTTTGGCACTGTATATAAAGGTGTTGTTAAAGAATTGAAAACACCAGCTAAAATATTTTATAATAAACCAGTTAATATTCCTGTAGCTATTAAGGTTCGTTTTTAAAAAAATCTTTTTGTATGTTTTATAAAAGAATGAATTAAAAGTATTGTATATGTATTATATATATAGATTTCATGTTTATTTATTTCTGGAAGAAAAGTTAAGTTAGTAGAGACAGCAAAATGTTGGAATGCATAAGGTGTACCTTATCTGTCAGACTTGATGTCTCAACTTGATATGTCAAAAATGACTTGCAACTTGCAGGTATCAAAAATCTTTCACCTAAGTAACTAGCCAGAAATTGGGTGCTTTGAACTGATTCGGCTATCCGAGCGGAGTCAAACCAGCCACAGGGCTGATGATGAGCTCGGCCGTAAACGAGCGAAATGGCCGTCCGGTGTTTAGATTACCTCTATCTGGCTAACTGGCAAGCACTACTGGTGTTGATATAAGTGGTATGCAACTACTCATTTCAATCAATCAGTAGTATATAGTCTTATGCGAATTTGTTTGCCTTTTTGATTACCATTTATGATATCAAACAGATTGAGTACTGTGGTGAAAATGCCACCCGTCGAACTGTGTACATTGCAAATTGTTAACTAATTTGTAAATGGGGAATTTGATTTTGGGTGATTTCAAGATGAGAAAATCAATTTTAGTTTAAGTTTTGGTTGACTTGTGCGTCGGTGGCATAGAGGTTAGGATGCTCGCCGACCATGCACATGGTCCGGTGTTCGATCCCCGGCCGGCGCACTCCCAAAACTCGTTAAACCAGAAATAATGCTGCTGAAAAGGAAAGGTTGGGCATGAGGCTAGCAACCCCATCCTGTAAAAAAAACACTGCTACAGAAACTTCAAGCCACTAGCTTGAAGCCCACTGGGGAACGTGAAGGAAAAAATAATAAAAACAATAATTTGATTGACTTTCGAACGTCTCATTACTTCTCTAGCTTTAATATAGTGAGGAAGTTAATGTCACAATGTAAAGTTAAAGTGGGCCAGTATTTCTTTTTGTACTCAAATATCCCCTATTCATAGTCTAATTGAAGCCAAATAACCTATCATCTGCAGTTATGTTCTTTTGATAGTTTATGCTTAATTTTTTTTAAAGATATTCTTATCTTTTATGCTTCTAATTACCAGACTATTAGTGCAAACAGCACCTTGTTTGATCATCGAGATTTTATCAATGAAGCATGTTTTATGAAACAATTTCAAAGTTATCATTTGGTGCGCCTATTGGGTTTAGTGACTAAAACTAAACCGAAGCGTAAATCATTGAAATTCACTTATCGTTGTCTGCATTGGTTTCGTCAACGACATTTCAGTGAAGTGTGTCAATTTCTTAGTCGTTTCTCTCGTTCGTCATCATCTTCATCAAAATCACCAAAATCGAAGCAGTATCCTCTTTTATCTTCATTTATATCAGATAAACAAATGTTTGACGGTGAAGAATGCAGCTGTCATACATTAGGTTAATTCATGTTGTGTTGTTTTTCCCCTTTCTGTTTCTATGCATTCATAGTTATAATGGTTTAATTTATATTTTTGAATTTTTCTATTCAGCTTAATGCATTGCGTCAGTTACTTCTTAATAGTAGGATGCTTGCCAGTCACGCGAAATCTCGGGGTCCCACCCGATTCAATCGTGAACGCTGCCTAGCTGATAGTAAGCCCGAAAAAGAAGGAAGGTTAGGCGTAAGGCTAATAACTTCACCCTGTAGAGACAATAACATAGTCACTTGAAACTTAATAGCCTGAAGCCCTCTATTTTTACTCGGAACGCAAAGGGATGAAAAATATATTATTACTATCGTTGCTATTCCCTTGGGTTCCGAGTGGACGTCAGGGCTTTAAAAGCACATCTTTTTGTCGTGTTCTCTACAGTCGTCTTTAGCTGACTGTCATCTTCTCTGTGTTGTCACCTTCGGACGCCCTACTCGTCGTCTCCTATTCAGGTTCTACTCGAAAGTCTAGTGCGCGGTGAATAAAAAATAAACCCAATCAATAAGCTTGACTATTTATTGAATGGAAAATGTACAATACTTGGTATGCGAACTAGGGTAGCGTCCTGTTCAACATAAATCGTCTGAATACGACAAACAGCGCGTAGATCTAGTATTCAAAAAGAACATTATGACGATTATCAGAAAACACAAAATTTAAGTATATTCCCCCCACTGACCTCTGAACAACTAATAAATCAAATCATAATTCGAATTTCAAACACTTTTAAAGGAGTATTTGCGCGAAATAGCAGATCATATAAGCATGCTAGTAAATGATTACTTTTTTACTAACTCTGTTGACTAATCCCAAATTGCAATTTGTACAGTACATTCGCTGCCGTACATGCTGAAATCGCGTTTACATACATATACGGAAGTCCGGAAAAGTGGATGGAACTTCGGTTCAACTGACTAGTGAAGAAAATCTCATATTAAATTCATTACTCGGAGCTGGATGTGATTCGTTAGCTTTTGCTGTGGCACTGTATTTCAAAGGTGAAAATAAATCCATTTGGGTGTTTAGAGCTTCTGGAGTTACTTGTAGCATCAAAGATGGAAACGATAGAGACTACTTCATCAGAATATATGGAATAATTAGGAAAATCCTTCTCTTTTAACAAAGTTTTTTTTGGAAATGAATTATACTGAACAATGTAATGGACCAGTCGGAATCTCTTTCAAATCTCTTGAGAAAGCTAAACATTCTGCATGTGGTAAATGGTCGTTTAAAGTCTATAAGCTCAATGCGTGGCGATAAACATCTTTCTACTGTTTAAAATTTCGGTTCTCAACCAATAATACAAGCTAGTATCTGTGGTTTAAATCAGATGAAGTTATCTGACCGAAAAATTATGCTTAAAAGAGACAAAGGTCAGTTTAAAGAAAGAAAGAAAGCAGAAGCTTACTTCCACGGATATCAGTAATCCATCAAACTTTCGTCATGTCGAACATTTCGGTTATGATGAAATAGCCAAGACCATTGATACAACCCATTAAGAAAGTGCCACCATGCTCAATTTATTACGTGCTACTTTGTGTGAAGATGCTATAAATAATCCATGTGAACGAAGATTTTTTAACAACTTTGCACTTGAACATGGTAGCTTAGAGGGAATACAACAGCATATAGATAGTTCTCAGGGTTGCGGTCGTATTCTGCTAAGTGCTCCGTCATCTCTTCCAAGAACACCACATCCCGCACCGCCTCCTGGGGCTCGTTGACTCCAACTTGCTCCTGTTATGCTTGGCCCATCATTAACCTCTGCCTGTTGTTCTTTAGGTAGCATCGAAACCAGTTGCACGACTACCGCCGTCTCCTCCAACCTATGAGTTACCTGCTCCTTCTCCCCCACTATCAACATCTGCGGCTGCTGGATTTGGAAAAGATAATTCATCAAATGCAGCTGCACCGAAACCAGCTATCAATCTGGGATCTGAAATCATATCCTAACAGAAGAGTAATCTATGTAAAATTACTCCTGGTGAAGGTGTGAATAAACCACCTGTTAAACCTGTCACGGGCAGTGGAGAAAGACAAGAAGACGGTGGTATTAGTAGTAATTGTACATAGTTTGTGGAATTTTGTATTAAAAAGATGGCTACACCGAAGAAAATTTTCTTTTCGATAAAGTCATCAACTAGTCTGGATATTCGTGTATTTATAGTTAGTGAATGAGAAAGTTCCAGAATTACTTCCGGTCAGAGGTTAAATTAATTAACTTTCAAAGTGTAATAAACAGGAAGATCGTATACAGAATATAGTAAGATAGATAGTTAGTAGTACTATTCTAGAAATATTTCAGGTCATAGGTCAAGGTTTGCGTCGGTGGCACAGCGGTAGAGTGCCCGCCGACCACGCAGGTGGTCCGGGGTTCAATCCCCGGCCGACGCACTCCCGAACCTCGCTAGGCCAGTAGTAAGACTGGTATAGCGGAAAGGTTGGGCATGAGGCTAGCAACCCCATCCAGGAAAAATAAACACCACTGCTACCGAGACTTCAAGCCTCTAGCTTGAAGCTCTATGCTCCACTGGGAACATAAAGGAATAAAAAAAGAAAGTGTGATAATCAAGAAGATGGGTTTGAAAAGACTTAAGAAGATTATAACTACTGGAAAACTCGTCAGTTTGTATAACTACGGATTAAGGACGTAGTATTAACAAAATAGGTAGGAAGTTGAGACATATAAAAATAAAGAACAGCAACCACATCTAGTAATGCAGATGAGAATTCAAACGTAAAAAAACAGGAATAAACAGGAAGGTTGGACAAGAAAAGCAATTGGATAATCACTATTGGTGGGACTGACTTTTCATGATGGCCACAGTAGGGACAACGGTTGGATGTATTTGTTTTGAACACGTAGCGTGGGCTTGAGTTTATGGATCGCCAGTGCCCCTCTGCTATTCCTAGATGCCTTGATTTTGCTCCCTTTGATGTGTTTGATCAGATGTTGTATATGACTTTGAAGGACTTTTCAAATGGTTCCTCTTAAATTAATCCAGTTCTTCTTCAAATTTTATTCTCCCATCGCAATGGTTACATTTGTATGTTCTCCTGTGATAAAAATAGCGGAGATTTAAGGATACTTTTTTCTATCTAATTCTGTTGTCTTATTCGAAAAGGTCTAAAACATATTTTGCAGACAACCAAAGATTTTTTCTCTCCTCAGCTTATAGCGCCAAAAATAGCTAACATAATACAGAAAGTTAGGAGTAGACGCTATTGCATCAAGAGGAAAGAAGTAATAATACTAAAAAGAATTCTGACCTATTATCTTGCTTAAATTAGTACAATTTTAGATAAATATTTTTACTATATAACACAAAACTGTATCAATACTTCAAAAATATCATATGCCCTACACCACAGTGCTATTGAGCGGAGGCGTGTACTATTTTTAAACTCAATGCCTTCTACATTTTATTTCTAATGAAGATTATATAGCTCTTATCCTCAAGAAGTAATTTCCTCAAGGTTTGTAATCATCCAATCAGTGATATAACATTGTCCACCAAACTTCAGAATAGTTGCTGTCATTTTCATGTCTGTTAGAACTCTTTTCTCTACTTCATTTCAACAATGATTGTCAATATTATTTTTGTTTTATTTTTGTCTTACAGCTTCATCAGAAAAATTAGCTAGTATTGTCAATACCTCTGTATTCAATAATACACAATTAATTGGAATGGATAATAAGGTAGCACCAGAGAGTCCATTAGTCATTATGCAATTAATGGCTAAAGGAGATTTAGCTAGTTATTTACGTCATTTAGGCGATAAAGGACAAGGTTCAGTTAATCCATCACAAGCGTATCTATGGGCAACACAAATAGCTGATGGGATGGCATATTTATCTGCAAAGAAATATGTTCATCGGTAAGTATTTTTCTATTTCCTTAAATATTTATTCCATTAAAGAGCATTTCTCTATGATTAAAGATTACATGTTGATTATCTTATTTCCCTTCATGCATTTACTCACGTTAAGTGGAGTAACAAGGGAGATAAAGTTCAGATTAATCGTAGTATGTCAGGTAATTTCATCATTCAAGCCTCGTCGTTTGATACAGTTAAGGCATATGTTATACACTTAGCCAAAATATTTCTGCACTGGCATATGGGCTCGTGAAATAGTTCCCAGTGTTTAAACTAAAAGCTGATACCATTCCGTTGAAAGTGTAGTTGTAGGGGTGATCTGCGCATGTAAGAACAAGATCCTTTACTGGTGCCTTTGCAGTGTTAAACATCACTGGTGGGAGTAGTTGTGGCTATACAACCTAAAATCGTTTACAATGGTTTCGATGTGTTTACTTTTTACCACTCTCAAGATCGTGACTTTTTGGCTACTGTTCATCTATTTAAGCAGCTGAACAAACCTTTTATGCTCACAAAGTTCGCGGTCGTATTAACGAATCACTAGGGCCTCCGTTATACAAAGTGTCGGAACCTATCATTTGTACTGTTCGGCCTCCGTTTAAGCTGCGTGGCTTCAGTTCGCCAGGTGCTCAAGAATCGAGTGATCAATTTCGATTGTTCTCTTGATAGTCATACCGGATGATGTTCCGAGATGCGTTTGGAAAGTGTGTGCTTTGTAAGCCAATATAAATAACCTCATAGCAGCTAGTAAATTTATAAAGACACATTGAACTGGCTCAAAGTAGCAGTCTGTGCTACACACATTCACTAGTCATTTACCGACAGTAGAAATGGATATGTGGCTAGGCTGAAAAATGCTTTCCTCAGTGATCTGGACAAGCGGTCCTTCAGAATCTCTTCCGTGGTATCGACAACTTGTCGGATTCTCTTCAAATCATTATCGACTGTATTATTAGTACAAGTCCTTTTTTATTCTCAAAAGTAAGGAGTAAATCAGGTCTCTTCGTCTTCTCAGAGGAACTCATCCATGCAAAATTTAGTATAGACCATTCCATATCGGTTTCCTATAGATTTGTCTCTGAAGAGAACTAACAGATCTCCTTTTCAACAAAACACCGATAAAATTCAGAGTTGGACTGGGACACTGATGCGAAGTTAGGAAAATTGTAACACTAATTGAGCTCAATTATTGAAACGTCAGTGACTCCACCTTTGTCACATATGATGAAAGTATCATCCATGTACCTTTCGTACATGTGAAAACCCTCAATAGTGTGTCGTTACATGTTATTTTCTAGTCTAGCCATGAAGCAATGTACAATAAAAGGTTGCAATGGTGACTCCATTGCCACTTCGTCTTTTTGTCTGTAAAGTGTGCCATTGAACTTGACATGGACATGAAACGTGCACCTCTGTCGTAATATTTTCAAACAATGGATCGAAATGCCCATGTCCAAACTGTTATCATCAATGAATTTTCATAGAAAGCAAATAGCTACTATGAGAGGGACTGGAGGAAAGAGAGAGGTAACATCCAAAGTTATCATTCTCTTCACAGATATATGTTAGCATCACTTATTAAATTGACGAAGTTAAATAAATCCAATACATTTTAGCAGTTAGAAGAATGAATGTCTGCAAGCCACTTGGAAATAAGATGATATGCTCATGAGTTCGAATCTTTCTCCACCTGCTGAGGTTTGGTAGCGAGGTAGCACTATATTAATCCTTACGCAGTTAGAACTTATTGCAAATGGCTGTTTACTAATACGCACATTCCATTAATGCTAGATTGTGTTTGATTTTTGTATATCATGTGACTAAAAATCTAATTCTTCTTTAGGCACTAAAAATAATTTGTTATGACTCAAAATGAAGTAGAAAAATCTAGTTATTGATAAATTAATTTTATTATTTACGCATGTTGTATTCCTTTTACGTTCCCAATGGAATGTAGGGATTCAAACTACAGCTTTCAAGTTTCGGTAGCAGTGGTATTTATTTTTACAGGATGGGGTTGCTAGCCTCATGTCCAGTCTTCCCTCTTTATCAGTCTTATTACTGGCTTAGCGAGGTTTGGGAGTGCGGCGGCCGGGGATCGAACCCCGAACCACATGAGGCGTGGCTGGCGGGCATCCCACCACTGTGCCACTGACGCATTATTTACGCATAAAATATCATATTGTCTTACAGGAACCAATAATTACCTTTTAAAAGTTGCCTGACTTTTAATTTTGGTCTGTTTTTGTTTTCTCTTTAGGGATTTAGCTGCTCGTAATTGTCTTGTCGATTCGCATTTAACCGTAAAAATTGGAGATTTCGGACTATGTAGAGATATCTATGAACATAACTATTATCATAAAACAAGTCGTGGAAAATTACCGATACGTTGGATGGCTCCAGAATCATTACAGACAGCTTACTTTACAACTCAATCGGATGTATGGTTAGTCATTTTGACTATTTAATATTTTTCATGATAGTTAATAGGTCAGGGGCTTTAGTTTTTATTGTTGGCCCTTAGCTGATATCTTTTCTTTGTTACAGTAACATAGTTTATTATTAACACTAATCGATTTTCATGTGATGATCTACTTTCATTTCAATAATTAATTTCCATATCAACACAAATATGCGATTTGTAAATGTTTTACTATATAGTCTGTTAGAGGCTATGAAATTACACCGACTGAGATGGTTAGGACATGTGTTACGTATGCCTAGTCTACGCCTTCGTCGACGGGCAATGTTAGCTAATATAAGGTCAGGCTGGAAAAGAGCCAGCGGCGGTCAAACGAAAACATGGTACCAGTCAATGAAATCTACAACAGTTAGTCTAAGCCACGTAGAAGGTGTAGACTTCCTGGTTGGGGTCGTCGGGACGGTAAAAACCAATGGCTGGAAACAGTTGGTGACATGGCTCAAAATCGTTCTCAGTGGTGCAGATGCATCCACTCCTTATGACTCATGATTTCCAATGAAACTGTTTTGTTTTTCGTTATTACTATTCCTTTGTCTCACACCTGTGTTTGCTGTCTCTAATATGCATTTCTCCTACTTTCTTCTCTTGTTTTGTGTGTTACATGGAGTGTGGCGACTTGAACTGCCGCACATATGTGCAAAGTTCTATGTCGAAAACAGACAGACAGATAGTGTGTTAGAAACTATACAGTCAAACATCTATGCAGGATAAAATGTAGACGGATTTGGCATTTGCTGAGGAAACCGTCGAATGATATCGCGTACCATTCCCTCCAGTGGAACGCGAATGGGAAGCGACGAGTGGGTCATCCGAGGTTGACATGGAGGAGATGAGAGATTATTGGCAATCGTGGGCCCAGCCAAAGAGCACAACAGAAAATAGAACAAAGTGGAGATGTGTCGTTGAAGCCCTATGTTCCACTCGGAACCGAAGGAAACAACAATAATAATAATAGTTTGTTAGAAACGTAGTGAAAACATTCTTTTGTGACAAACATAACACAGATTCTACTGAATGAACTAAATATCTCAGTGGAAAGATAAAGAGTAGTCAGCCTTCATCCAGAACCTTCACTGTATGTATATGCTTAAGTATCTTACTGACTGTTGAATTGATTACCTGTTTCATATAACTAATTATACTTAGTTTTAATTAATTCATTTGGGAAATTTTGCATAGCTTTGAAGTAAAGCTGAAGTGAATTACCAACGTAGAACTTTGCTCAAGGGTGTATGAGTAAAACGACTAGTGTTATCAGCATTCGTGTTTTATTGTGTGATTACTTATCGCAAAATAATGAGTGTTGATATTTGGACTCAGTTCCTGGAACAGATCTTTTATGTTATTTGATAGTTGGAGGCAATCGGCAGGAAGCCTTGAACCTAGATTTCGTGCTAGTTGGTACTTACCAGTAAGCAAGGCGTACCTGTAACCTCGAAGGAACTGATTTCCCTTCTGAGATTCGAATCCGCGTCACCCAGTGCTGCAGTCAGAGACGTTACTACTGAGTTATTCGGACTCGCGATTGACCTCCTGTAGGACTGTAGTGGGTATTTTGATTGGACACTAGTAACTAGTGTGACGTGTCTAGTCCTTTCTTTGGTGCAGACTGAATTCTATCAGTCAGGTATTTTCAATGTGGCCACCATTCTAGGTAGCTTGCCATCACAGTGCACATTGATTTGATGATATTTGATAGTTGGAGGCAGTCGGCAGGAAGCCTTGGACCTTTTATGTTTCAGGGACAAGTTAAACTTTAAGCACCAGTAAGTATCAGTAGAGTGCAACTGCACCAATGACGTTGAAGCTCCCAGTGAGCAAGTTAATTAAACCTGGTAAATAATATTGTAATCGTGAATAAAATATGCCTAATGAAGTGTTATCTTATTAAATGGGGTATCTGGCAAGTTTCAAGTTAGGTTTGGGAAAGATGAAGTCAAGGTTTAGGCCAAGTCAGGCTAGGGTTAGGTTAACTTAATGAGTGTGAAATAAAAGTTGGTTCCAGTTTGATTAGGGTTAGTTTAGGAATATTTTCACGTCACGGCTAGATTAAGGAAAGGTTACGGTTATTGTTAGGTTTAGAAGGTCTGGATAATTACATGCGTAGAATGCGGTTAAATTACTCTGTTGATATTCCAATCGAAAACTAAGAGGTTTTTTTGTCACACGTCAGAGAAAGTCTCCCTGTATAATAGTTTGATGCCTTTTAATTTATTATTTTCATGGACATATTTGTTTTATACACAAATATCATATGGTTGTTGCGTTCAAAGTTATTCGTCCGTTGGTACTTACTGGTGCTTAAATTTTAACATCGCCTGTTTCAGCTGATGATACTACCCAACCTACCTGATTGAAATAGGTTGGGCAGAATTCGAAACCGTGACCCATTTACTGAGAGTATGATGAGATAAGGTGATTAAAGTACTAGTATCCAAAGTCATGTTATTTTGTCACAACAGAAGGCAAGACACGGGAGCTAAAGTATATTTTTCATTGATCAAACTGCTGTTTATATATATACAGTTTATATTCGTTAACCAATCACTGAGCGTGTGATTTCAGTTTACATCAAACGACACGAAAGAGAATGTTCAAATATACATAGTATTCTTTTGCTAATACAGAATTGAACTGTGGGAACATGTGAGAATAACATTCCATTGGCACACATTGTCTGTATCACACCACCACAATTGTGTATCGTTTTGAAAACATCTACTAGATGAAAGGAGTTGTTTCATTCTAAATGAACATATTATGAAATCTAAAGTTATCCAAGACTTATATAAATGTAGTTTCTGTTGAATAAGGCAGATTATCATGTTTTGTCTGTCATTAGATTTGCATCTATTACTTTATCGCTTAATAATTTCTATTTATCATATCATGTCTATGAATTCATTCCATCTATTATATCATTTTTGCATACTGGTCAGGGCAGTTGTCCAGAAGTGTTTCATTTACAATCTAATGTATAAAGCAACACCTAGATAAGAAGCATTGTGATCCATTTCTTGTGTTAATTTCTGCACACTCTTACTTAAAAGAAGACGTTTCTGTTCATTTTTATCAGCAGTGTAGTAAATCTGAGAGGGACATTGTTGCTTATTGTCTTAGGTGATGAATTCTTAAGCACTACTGCACTTTGGGTTCGAATCACAATTCACTTCAGTGACCTAGGAAGGTGGGTGGAATCATTATACTTCAGGTATCAGAGATTATGTTCAACCATCTACTCAAGCATATACCAGTTTCTTGAGCAGTACGTAAAATTCTTTAGTTTAGAAATATTCTCTCCTACTGTTTTTGTGTGTTTTATTTAAAAAATAATATAGGTCTTATGGTGTAGTTCTATGGGAAATAGTTACTATGGCATGTCTTCCTTACCGTGGTATGTCTCATGAAGAAGTGATTCGATACATCCTCAGTGGTAATACACTCCTCTCCAATGGTTTGCCTACAAATTGTCCAGAGCTTTTGTGAGTTGTTATATATATTATCCTTACTTGTTAACTTGTACAACTTTGTGATTATGTTCTTTCATTGTGTTATTTGCGTTTTATTATTATTATTTTTTGTTGTTGTTGCTCTATATAGATTTTTTGGTTGTTCCTAGAGTGAACAGCATTTTTCAAAAAAGAGAGGTAGTCTCGTTTATTGGACAATCTTAAAGTGCCACTATTTCTTTGGTCGAGTGTTTTTCAGTAATAAATTTATTGCATTATGTAGCTTGGCTGTGTGTTTACTATCACTGAAATATATTTATACAGACTGAAGAGGAGACGACTTGTCACCAGCTCCTTATTTTTAAGAAAATCAGTTATATGCAGTGTATGATTCTTCAGTTCACGGTAATAAGAGTTTATGGGATTTGTTAATAACATCTAAATTAGGACATTATCTAAATAGCTGTACTAATAAAACATGACACTACTTGTTAGAGGAATTTAGATATAATAGAGAAGATTTGTAGCTCAGGTGGATGATTTTGATGTAGTTGTGTTCTCTGAGCTGGATGGTTTATTTGCGAAGCTTTCATTGCCCTAGTAGGCAACATCTTCAGTGCATACTTCAATTTGACTTCGCAAATAAACCACATCCAGCTCAGGTAGCGGAATTGTCTATTAAAAACTTCATACAATTCTTCCCATTAATAAATTTGAATAAAGCAAGAACGACAAATGTACTAGGATAATCTGAGCTTATGTTTTTATTATTTTGTGGATTCTTCTCAACTGGTTACAACCTGAACAATACCAAAATTATAAATAAAATTAAAGATGTGAACATACTTTCTTACAATGGTAATGAGTAATTGATTGGAACTGAGAGTAACATTGGTCAGGAATAATGTAAGTTGTTGAATAACTAAGAGTGAAAAGGATCGACTGTTTATAGAAGAATTGCATGACTAAGCTTGGAAACAAAATGAAAGAGTTCAACAGATGTTTTGTGGGTAGAAATAAATTTTTTACTAGAAAGAGTATAGAAAGTAATGGGTTACGTAACCACAGAAAAACACGTTTTTATAAAATAGACAAAGAAGAGGGGTAGGATGAGTCATGTTTAAACGAAAAATTCAAGTTTTTTAAACAGGACACAAGATGACATAGTGAAATTTTTGCTCTTCGTTATCACCAAGGCAGTGCAGGATTCACCACTTTCTCTTTCTGTGTAAATAGATTTGGTTTTAGCCGTTTGATGGCGATTGCTTCAGCAAAACGAAGCAGGCTATTTTTTGTCTGTTGATTATTTTAAACGCCGTCAGGTTGTCCACAAAATGGTCAGTGTCTAGTAAATGGCGCGCAATCGCACTGTTTAATGCTTATGGGCCCTTTAATATCAGCGATGCGGACAATAACTCTTCTCTCTGTTCTCCCAATGTAATTGCTTTGACACGTACATGTAACAGTAGAACGAATCCAAAATCCCAGTATCATCACCATTACACAACCAGTGATTTTATTTTTGTTACATTCTTGTCTTTTTTTCTCACACTATAGGTCTGTTTTTCTTTCCTTTTGTTTAGTCGTGCGTTAATGCTGCATTGTTGGAACTTCAATCCTTCGAAACGACCAACATTCTTAGGACTGTGTGCTTTGCTTTCACCACGTTTTGGAGATGCAAAATTTCGGTTGGCCAGTTTCTTCTACCACGGTGAACAACGTGTTATTGGCAATCAAAACCGTTCAAAGGTTTTGGAAGCACCGGCCAAATCCTTGGGTAAATTAAATGTATCACCAGATCAAGATCCTGCCCACAATCTAACAACTCTTTTAAGTACTTTTCTCGTTAATCCAGATGATGATCTTGGTTTGGATGATAATAATCTAGATCCTTGTTTAACTGATGATTGTTCTGCTTCTTTAATAGAATTCAAAGTGAATAGTCCTATAACATCATGTAAATCGCGTCATACGTACTCTGGAGATCCCGAGGCGAAAAGAGCTTATGCAATTAGTGACAAAGATGTACCTTCGGGACTAAACGATAGCAATGCTGCCTTATCAGAGGTGCATGGTCTCCTAAGATTCAAAGGCTTAGGTTCAAGTCCTGTTACTTCACCTTTCGTAGACTCTTGCTCTTTCCTCTTCACATCTGATGAAATTACAAAATCTGTTTCCGATCTTCAAAACGATGATTTCAAACCTGTGGAAAATAAACCGAACACTGAGAATCCCATAACATAACTCTTGAAGTTTTTTTTTGGAAATAGTTGTTCAGCATATCATTTTACTAACTTATTTTTATTGTTTTGTGTACATAATGTCGATTTTTGTTTGTAAATAAATTTTTTACATAATTGGAAACGTTTATTTCCCGATGCGAACCTAAAATATGCCAAAGATGTTCATCAGGCAAGATTTATTGAATTCATACAATTTCGGTGGGAATTCTCAACCAAATTCTCTACATGCCGCTCTATACACCATGAGAGATACGTGACTGGAATGTAAACTACAATGAATCAATCTTAGCAACAAAAAAATTGGTAAAAATAACTTACAGGTCAGGCTCAGATAAGTGAAGAGGTTATGATAGATTGAAAGTTAAGATTGTAATGGACTAAAATTCAGTTACGTCATTGTGATAAACAGTTAGGAAGTACAAAACGAATAATACCAATAATGAAACGATTAAAGCTGAATTGGAAATATGCTGTTCAGGTAAATGGGAGAAACGACATTTATCAAACTGATGGTGATTAATGCCTTTTGTACATCGGGTATCTTCATCACCCCTGACTTCTCTATGTTCACCTAAAGTCTTGTCTTGGGGTGCCTCTACACTTGTATATCTTTGAGTTTGTATGCCACCAGTCATCCGTGAAATCCAGCTCTCCTAGGATATCTTTGGTCAGTCGTGTGACTGTCTTCACAATCCCCAATGTTCTGTTGCATGATCCAGTCCACCACAGTCAGAAAGAACATCGGTGATAGTACTCAGTCTTGCCTTACTCCTGTATTTATTTCAGAATATTCGGTGAGGTTTTGCTTTCGAAGTTTTGCTCTTCAAGACTTCTGTTTTGTCGCAGGGTGGGGCTCTGGTAGTTCGGTGTCTTATGTTAGTATTTCTGTAAACAGTGGTCTACCCAAGAATCATTTGAAGTGATAAACCAAGCGTTTCGTATGTTTCACCTCCTTGGTAATTGGGTTTCCTTCATTACCCTTTCATTGGTTTCGTCTACGTTGATCCCTGCTTGGATAGACATTTGGTTATTTGATACATTTTTTAACAAAAATTAAGAATGATTCCTCAAATGTGATTTCATTTGACATAAATCAATAGAAAGTCATGCAAAAGTCTGAAAATACTGTTCAGGGCATGACTCTCATAAGAATGGAAAATTTCTAGAATTACTTTACTACTGTTATCCTAACTCACATATTGACTCAACAAATTTTTCTAACCCTACTTGGGCATCATCACTTGATTTCTGCATAACAGCCAATCCGTTATCATTATTAGACAAATAGCTTACTTGGTGTAACAGGAAACAAAAGTCATGGGTTACGCTTGCTTTCGCAGCTTAATTCAAACAAATAAAACAAGACTTGTGGAGGGAAGGGTACAGGAAAATAGGTACGTATAGATAGGACACTTGTAGCGCCACCTTTAAAATTTACAGAAACTAAACAATAAACATATTAGGGTGTCTTGCTACCTCGTTGTCGGCTAATTTTCTGGGGAATACACTTTCACCTACTTAATAGACGCCTCATTTGTTGTGAACACGATATAATTTTGACTACCAGTGAATTGATATTCAAAAGATGGCCTAGTGACGTTTTCAGAAATGGAGATGAGTCTGTCAGGGAATCTCGCTGGGGAAAACAGTGTGCTCAAGAAAATCCAAAAAGAATACAACGAAGACAGAAAAACTTTTGAGATAGTCCAGATATCACAGCTAGAGCCTTCAAAAGCTTGTTTGGCTAATTAGCAGTCAGGGCTTATGGAATCATACGTACACTCCGTATAGTAGAATATAGTAACTAGTAGAAAAAAGGAGGATGGAAAAGTGAGTTTACGGAGTATAATAATGCCCTGCAATCTAAAGAGGTGTCCCCGCAGAAGCAACAGAATCTCGTACTGATTTCTGCATTGAAGCAGAATAACCTAATGATAAGTGAGCAGAAAAGAGACCGTTATGTGCTAGCAGTCGGGTATTGTGTCTAAAGACTCAAATTCCTCACTGGCATTTCGCAACAGGCTACACGCTGAAAAGTCGTCTGTGATAAGCCAGATCCAAGAAGGATTGACCTCAAGTTCTATGAGCCTACCACTAATTCTATCATTTGGATCCGCTTTAAAACCTCTGCCAACCTGTTGCCCACTTCCAAAATATTTTTAAAATTAAGATGTAAAAAATAGCTGCCTGGCAATATTTCACTGTAACCCAACACATAGACACCACCTAGAGGTGTAGGTGGTGCAAATATATTGTACGGTCGAAAAATGGATCCTACCATGGTAGAGGGGTCAGATTTTCTGCATCTAGACTAAAATAGCCCACCAGGTGGTAAGATCTCTCGCCTAACTCCCGAATAGGATGCAAGTGACAATCCTCCAGTAGTTGTCCTCTTAATTCTGCAGTCATGCCGAACTGATAAATTCCCTTTTTGAGGAGCGCAAGCAGTGGTCGAAAGATTCAGCATGGTAGGCGTTTAAACTTTCGGGACAGAATCAAACAATTTCCAAAATTTCGGTTCCTAAGTTTGGATTTATGTAGTCTCTCAAAGACATGTGCAGAGTGTCTGAATGGAGTTTTTTGTTTAACCCATGACCCTACAAAATTCACCCCATAGATGTCAGAAGATCCTTGGCTATATCTCATGTACATGTTGGTGTGGGTATAGTACTAATCTGAGCAGCAGGCTGCTAACTACTCTAACTTATCCCGTTCGACGGCAATCTGTATGATATCCGATTGAGTGAATCGGTAGATTTAAAGAGTTGTCATACCCATCGATGTGTTTTATAATCTGCGTTCATTGACAGACTAAGATTCTGACAGTATTAACGGCTGACTTTACCAGAAAATGTGTAATACGCTGCTTATAACTAAAAGCTTATATTGTAAAAACAGAAGGCAAGACACTGAAGCTAAGGTATATTTTTCGTTGATCAAATCGCTGTTTATCTATATACAGTTTATACTCTTTAACCAATCACTGAGCGTGTAATTTTGGTTTACATTGAACGACATGAAATAGAATGTTCAAACAGATAGATCGTATTCTGTTGCTAATGCCGTATTTAACTGTGGGAATAATATTCCGTTGGAACCGATTGTCTGTATCACACCACCACGATATATATGCATCTTAGCAGGTGGTTTCAAAGCGGAACCTGTCTGAGAAGCATTCTAAGGATATCTATGTCGCCACATGCTGAAAACCTGTGCGTTTAGGAGAGACATTCTTCAGGTTGGCTACCGTTGGCATCAAATGGAAGATAGACTACCTATATATGTGCTACCTACGTAGAAGTTTGTTGGTAGATTACCGCTTTTTCTAGAACACATACTATGCGTCAGTCAGTCTCAGTGGTCGCACTGTGTATTGTATTTACGCCAGAGTTAACTGAGTCAAGGAAATCGATTCCAATGGTTTACAAATATGGTGAGAATTGAAACTTTCTCGAAAAGAAGTTAACCAGAGTGAAAAATCAGTTTTTCTAAGAGGTTAAAAATAAATGGATAATATCAGTTCACGTTCAACTGATCCATAGCTATGAAGCTTTATATTTCAAGGTTTAAATACAAAAGAAACTTGTTTAACATACTTTACTCTCATATTTATAGTCTCATTTTTAGAAATTTAGAAATGAAAAAGATTTACAAAATTCTTCTGATCATTCATACTCAATATCAACTGATTACTGATATGCCCAATTTGACGACAGTTGATGCATTAATATTGTGTATGAATACACAGTTTGTTGCCTTTGAATAATTAGGTTCACCATATTTCGTCTACATTCTGGTGAACATATGCTAATTTTCACGGATTCACTTTTATTCTGAAGATGATTATTCACTTGAAATATAAAGTGTTGACGCACACTATATGTACTATGTCTTACCATTCTTAAACTATTTTAAAACAGATTCATTTTAATCATGAAAGATATTTTCATTGATTATGAATGTGATGGACACATTCTGGAGTTTAATTTCTGTGAAAATTGATTTTGATAGCTAATAATTTTATTTCTACGCAACATAGTATCATGATTTATCGATAAGTGTTTAGAAGCCTTACATATCATTTGTTTAAATTAAGTGAATAAAATTCACGTGTTGTTTTTCGTGTATACTAGCCCTCCCTCTGTCTAAAATCTCAGTCACTGGTGGATTCAAAGAACTCATATAAACAGCACTTTTGGTGATTCCAACTAGATACTCAGTTAAGAAGCATGCTTTCACACTGTATCTGGATTAACTGGCACCACAGTAACATTTGATGATGTATTTCAGTTTATTTCGTTAAGTAACACAGCAGCCCAAAGTCATGATATTAAGGGGGGTCTCATGAACACAGAATTTTGTTATCACTCAGAGGTAGTTAGTAATCAAGGATTTCTGATGTTTTAGATGAGTGAACAAGTGTGAACTGTATCTTGTTTTCGATTTGTGAGGCTCTATTTATCTACCGAACTATGTAGAATGATAAATGCCCTTCTGCGTTTCCCTTTGTCCCTATGCCTTCCTTGTCCTTCAGTGCGCTTTCGAAATACACATTCAAAATGCAGGCGTTATCGGTCGGTAATCTGGGTATTTATGTTCATACAAGAGTATAGCGTATCAAATATGATTCCGATTATAATGCTATAGTACATTCACGTTCCGAGATGTGCTAATGCTGTACAAGGCCAAATACGAACAACGTTGTATTAAAAAGCACAAGTGAAAACTTGAAAAGACATACTGTTAGAGAAGTGAAATTTCGAAGAGCGTGAGGTGAACGTGTGTGACACCAAGCAATATATATAATTAAAAAAAAGCAAATGTTCAATAATACAGTAGCAAATGTTTCACAAGCATGCGTAAAATTAGTTTCTGTGACCGCATAATATGCGTACATGAATTAGTTTTATGAGCGTACAGTTAGAGTTAATATAGGGGTGCTACACAATTCCCCCACCAGAACATTTAAGTGTTCGATAATGATATGAGTTTACACAATAAATAGTAGCGATGATACATAGAAAACTCTGTGTGTATTAAGCTAAGAAGTACGCAATTTAATCCAGAGTTTTAGAAAAAAATGGATGGACTGTTAATAATATTAATAATAAATGCACTAAAGACAACTGAATTAACACTCTTGACAGGAAATATGTGGAATGATAAAAATCACCAAAGGTATCCGTAGACTTTAGATGAAAACGATGTATAAATAGTAAAAATTACACGAATAGGTGCAATTGTGCAAAAAACGGCAATGTTTAAACAGTAGCAGTGTGAGCTATGTATGGAAATATCCATAATGTAATTGAACAGTTATATATTAATTTTGAATAAAGACAATAAAAAGGGAAATTTGCGCTAAGTTGAATATTGATAATTTGAACGTAACGTCTAGGCCCGTGAACTCTCCCACCAGATCGTGTTGTTTTCACGGGTTTTTCTGTTGACTTTGTCGTTTTAGTGGCTGGAAGTGTTGGCACGTCGTTCAGTTGACCTATATCACTGTCGTGGAAGTCGTCGATAAACACTGGTTTGACTCTATCAACACTGATGGCTTCTGCTTTATTCGATCATTCTAATTTGTCATTACTCTGTAGAGCTCTAAATGAAACATTGTAAGCAGGTTGAAGTGGTCGTTGTACACCATCCGTCCTGACGAAAACTTGAGTGCAGTTTGTCAGTTGTAGTGAGATGTATGATGGTCGCTGCTGCTGGCACAGAAGTGATATTTTTAGCTCATTCATGCGTTGCTTTAGTAGATGCACGTAGTCAGTCAGATTACTTAAAACTTAGTTATATGTGATGAAAAACTCTCCTAGTAACCTTAGTGTTTTCTCATAGACTAACTTGGAAACGCAGCATCCAACACCTTTCTTTAAAGTTCGTCGTATACAAAGTGGTACCAGCAGGAGTTTGGTGAACCAGTGCTTCTTGATTAGAAAGGTGACAAGCTCAGTTTTAATATGACGATGTAATCATTCAACGATCCCATTGAAAATAGGGTGATACGAGGTCATTCGTATTCGCTTAATTCTCAATAATTTGGTGAGCTGTTAAAAAAAGGGCGGCTTTCGAACTGTGCACCTCTGTCTGTAGTGAGAATGGACGACAGACCAAAGTTTACTATCCAGCCCCCTACCAGAGCTTTAGCAATTGATTCGGGGGACAGGTCTGTTAGTATAACCACTACTAGCCGACGAGTGTATCTATCAATGCAACCGGAAATGTAGCTGAAACCATTGGAAGGAGGCAGTAGACCAACGATATCTATATGTATGAGGTCAAATCTTGATTCGGAGTTAGGAAAATGCCCAAACGATGCATTGGTGTGACGATGAATCTTGACTCTTTGATAAGAAGCACAATTTTGCGTCCACTTCTTAGCATCAGTACTTATGTTTGGCAGCCCAGTAGCAACACCCACTTCGGATTGCGACAGACTATGCAGTTTCTCAAACATTGTGCGTCTCATAGCTTCTGGGACAAAAAGTCTACACTTGCAGGCAGAGGTATCACAGATTACTTTCATTTTGCGAAAAGGAATTTCGGTGAGTTTTAGAGGACATAATCATCCTAAGTTCAACATTATCTCTTCACAGGGTTGCGAGGTGTTCTTAGTCGATATTAGGACATACTTTTTCATACGTGGCAAGGCGTCTGTAACTTCACAGTTGTTAATCCTTACGTGTCAAATATCTGATGTCAATTGATATGCAAATTTAAGATGTCGTAGTTCACGAGGCGAGTAGTTATCTTGTTTGGCTGACAAGGCTGTCGTTTGTATTTTATGATCCTTGAAGACAGTAAAAGCTGTACGTTCCAGCATATGTCTAACATGTTGAATGAATAAATAAACATCTATGGACACTCTACCAAAAGTGCCATAGCAACATTGAATATGATTACAGTCGTTTTAAAAAGAATGCGCGGGGTCGCTTTCCGCCGTGTACTTGTTGTAAAACTGCCTCAGTGGCAACGTCAAAGGCATCAGTCATGAGGGGGAGAGGAGATTCGTTCCCGCGTCTGACTGGGAGTACCTTCCCGTTTAACGCGCGCTTAACAGTTTTGAATCATTCAACGGCTTTGGTTGGCAAGTAAAACGAACGCCTACGTCCGCGCAAACAGTCAGTTAACAGTTGCAAGACTATGGCACAGTTAGAAACGAAATGACGGCAGAAACTGGTGAGGCCGGAAAATCGCCATGATTTCATAGAAAGAGTCAGGTTTTGGATAAACATTAATAGCTTGTACATAATCAGGGATTGGCCCGATTCCTCGGCTGCCGATCAAACGCCCAAGAAACTCAGTGAGGTCTTGTCGAGATTACATTTGTTTAAGTTGATGATCATCCCATACTGGTGAAGCCTTTTGAATGCAATCTTCACTTATTTAAGATGTTCTGCTGCTTCTGCACTTGCAATGAGTAAATAATTAATGTGTGCATATTCGAAACGGGACCACGGAGTACTTGTTTGATTTAGCGTTGGAATGCCTGGGCAGCGTTCATTAGTCCTAAAGGCATGCGGACGACTTCGTTGCGGTAATGACGGTTTTAGAAACGTCGTCTGCATGGATGGGAATGTAATGATAACCTCTTATGAGATCGATCTCGTAGAAAACCTTAACATCCAGCAGATTACTGGGGATATCGTGTATGTGGGGTATCGGGTACCTGTCAGGTACCGTTAGTTTGCTTAAAGCTCAGTAGTCACCACACGACAACATTTCACCAGGAGACTTTTTAGGGATCATGTGAAATGTTGAAGACCAAGAGCTATTAGTTAGTTAGATGATCCCAAGATCTAGCATTTTATCAAATTCTGACTTCGCAACACCCAATAGGTGTAGATCAAGGCACTGAGAGCGTGTGGAAATTGGTGGTACAGTAGTTTTAATATGATGAATCGCATTACGTTTCAGACCGATTTCTCGGAGAGAAGGCTGAAATGATTCACTAATTCATTTTATGGAGAATCCGGTCCAAAGATGAGGCCTGGCTGATTGCAATGTGCGTATTGTTGTATAAGTCGACCAAATTAAGGCTTATTGGATCTAACAGTCATTTATGGTGCTGTGAGAAATCAATACCGAAGATTGGAGATGGAACGTCTGCAATGATAAATGACCAAGTGTAGGCATTCCACAGACCAAAGTTACAGGTTTGCGTCCATACTGCACTTGTTAATGGATATGAGCATGAATCGACATTACTTAGAAAGCGGTCTTATATCTGCCTATCAGAGAGTCAGGTGCATTGTAGTACCTTTTCTTTTAATTTATCGTAAGGATTTCGCATACTTGCTCGGCGATTTTGTCCGGTAGTACAGTACTCAAAATACCGAATTTAGCGTTCTAAAAAGGACAGCTTATTGTTAGTGAAATGATTTCCCGGCCGAGCAAACCAAAGATACAAGAGTCAGTCAATGTACCAACACAAGTATTAAAGTTCTAGAATATGGAAGTCAGGTCTAACGAGAAGAATTCACAGTCAGGAAAATTCAATCTCACAAAGGACAGAAGTATTTTTTCACTTTATGCCAAGGCACAAAAATTAGTTGTAGTCCCCGGAAATTAAACAGATGCAAGTATACTGTAGAGTGTCCTTTCAATAATGGCATATAATATATCACCCCCATACCAACGGACACTGATTTATCCAAGCTAGTGTTGGAAAACTGTTAATCAAGGAGTAATTTTCGGACATAATAAGCAAGAATGCCATCAGTAAAGCCGAAAACCTACGGAAATGATATGCATAAAAACAAATGCTGACTTAAAATCCGCTATATTATTCATATAGCCCTAAATTATTACTATCAATAATCATTTCCATATTATACAGAAACTGCAACAACTATGCTGCTTAAAATATGATTAAATTGATTACTAAGCCAGGTGAAATTTCATTTTTGTATTCTATGACGAAACGTAACTCAAAATCACAGTTAACTGTTTATACTGAGCGAAATTCAAGGCTGTTGGTTCGACCTTGCCGCTTATTTCGTGCCGTTTCTGTGACATGTCGTCGTTCGAGTGAGTTTCCCTCTTTCGAGGTACCCTTCATTTCAAATGAATAGTTACAGTAACTTTGGGAACGAAATAAACTGAATTATACATGAATCAAATGTTACTGGTTACTGTGGTGCCAGTTAATCAGGATACAGTGTGGATGCATGCTTCTTAATTAAGTATCTAGTTGGAATCACCAACTGCATTGGAAGGCACTTAGACTAATTATGATCCGGAAATTTCTCCAAATATATTTGTCAAGATCATCGATCCTTTCTTTAGGTATTTTCGTTTTGAGCTGCTATAGTTTAGAGCCACCCGCTTTTCGAGTGAATGTACTGAAGATGCCTATGTAGTAGGGCTTTCTGTACAAAATAGCACTGTTTTTTCTGTATAAATCGCACTTTCCCTAGGGCGTGACATACCTCATTTCATCGCCACTCATATTTTCACTACCCCCCCCCCCCCCCCCCCCGCGATGAGACCAGATACATTACCGACTACCATTGATATTTTGCCTAATAGCAACTCTTCGTCTTCATTTTCTGTTTCATCTGAGTACTGGAAAGCATTATGTCAGCGCCAGTCCAGGATATGCTGGCAATCGTCATGCAATTAATGTACACTTCTGGGTATGTGGACTTCAGGAGTTTTCCTAAATTTCTTCGGTTCATCCAAAAGTTCTTTTTAGTCAATACCTAGATAGTTTAACTGTTTTGTGTTTCAAAAGTCATAAATAATGCCACAGAATGGTTTTTTAACTGGAATAACTAACTTGTGTACGAAGTGATTCGGTCGGTCGGTCGGTTTTCGACATAGAACTTTGCACGTATGTGCGGCAGTTCAAGTCGCCACATTCCATGTGGCACGCAAAACAAATGAAGAGAGTAGAAGAAATGCATAATATAGACAGTAAACAGAGGTGTGAGACGAAGGAATAGTAATAACGGAGAACAAAACAGTTTAATTGGAAATCATAAGTCACAAGGAGTGGATGCATCTGCGCCACTGAGAACGATTTTGAGCCATGTCACCAATTGTTTCCAACCATTGGTTTTTACCATCCCGAGGGCCCCAACCAGGAAGTCTACATCTTCCTACGCGGCTTAGATTAACTGTTGTGGATTTCATTGATTGGTGCCATGTTTTCGTTTGACCGCCACTAGCTCTTTTCCAGCCTGGCCCTATATCAGCTAACATTGCCCGTCGAGGAAGGCGATGACTAGGCATACGTAGCACATGTCCTAACCATCTCAGTCGATGTAATTTCACCGTTTCGTCGATTGATTTCCCCGCCTTACCTAGCACTCGACGCCTAACCTCAATATTGCTCACCTTATCATACCACTTCACACGGGAGATAGAACGCAGACACCTATGATCGAACACAGATAATCTTTTCATGTCTTCCTCTCTCAATGGCCAGGTCTCACAGCCATAAAGGAGGACGGAGCGGACTGTTGAGCAGTACACACGCCCTTTGGTCGATAGTCGGATATCGCGTCTACGCCAGAGACGGCGTAAACTGATATATGCGAACCTAGCCCTCTGTATTCGTGCTGAAATTTCGTCTGAGATCAACCCGTTGGGGCTGATGGTACTTCCCAAATAAGTGAAGCGTTCAACGTGCTCTACCACTTCACTTCCTATTTCTAATCCAGGGGTCGATGAAGTCCAATCCTGCAGCATCATCTTACATTTTACAGGGGCGAATCGCATGCCAAACATACGGAGATTGTTGCTCAGGGTGTTCAGTAGACTCTGCATTTTGTCAGCGTCCTCGCCTAGAAGGACTATATCGTCTGCATATTCTAAGTCAACGAGATTATTCCCTGGTAGCAAGTCAATCCCTGAGTCGCTGAAGTGTGTTAGGGTTAAGTCCATTAGTACGTCTATGATGAAATTGAATAGGAATGGGGATAATGGGCATCCTTGACGGACGCCACTAGTCGTCACCACTTCAGATGACAACTCGCCATAAGCCCTCACCTGGCTGCATGAGTACGAGTAGAGTGCCTTAATCAGTGCAATGTATTTTCTTGGCATTCCCTTTACAGCCAAGCATCGCCAGAGAACCTCCCGGTCGACAGAATCGAATGCCGCCTTTAGGTCAAGAAATATAATGATTGTCGGACGCCGGTAGGAATGCCTATGTTCTAGAATCTGTCGAAGGGTGAAGATGTGATCAATACACCCTCTACCTGGCCTAAAACCTGCCTGGTTTTCTCGTGTTTGTGTCTCCCGAGCGCCACTTAGTCTACGCAGTATTATTGAGCCTAGGATTTTAGATACTATATTAGTCAAGCTAATCCCTCTGTGATTATCACAAGACGACTTGTCCCCCTTCTTGTATATCGGGATGATCAGTGACTTACACCAACCCGATGGGACTTCCTCTGATTCCCAGACGCTGCCCAGGACCACCGTTAACGCAGACAGTAAACTGTCTCCTCCGTACTTAAATACCTCTGGAGTCAATAAATCAGGTCCCGCTGCTTTGCCTAGCTTCAGATTGGTGACAGCTTTGGTAACCTCAGTTAAGGACGGAGGACCTGTGTCTATCTCCCATTCAGGGAGGTGTTGGATGTCCGGCAGGTTAAGTGTGGCTGTGGGCCAATTAAACTGCTCCTCATAGTGTTCTTTCCAGCGCTCCAGACGTCTATCCTGGGAGCTAATTATGGTGCCGTTTTTCTCGGAGATTGTTTCGCTTATCATTTGCCTTTTACCACCTGTTTCCCTGATAAGCCTGAATAGTTGTCTGGTGTTGCCTATCGCCGATGCTTTTTCCATCTCTTTCGCCTTTGTCAACCACCACTGTTCACGGTCCTTGCGGAGACTTTTCGTAAGTTTCTTTCTGTGCAGCTTTCGCTCCTCATTGAATTCGGAGCTCGCCGGAATAAGTCTTCTAGCATCTATCAGTTCGGATGAGGCAGTCGAAATCCAATGGTTTTTACACACCTTTGGATTTACCTTATTCACAGCTTTTACAGCTGTATCTATGGCTGACTGAATATTCTTCCAGGCTTCTTCAGGGTGAGCGCAGCTGTCGAACTCAGATATGTGTTTAGCTAGTTCTTCCTCAAATAGGGACTTAGTTCCCTGGTCGAGCTGGGGACGTGATGGGTTTACCGCCAGCTGTTTCCTACGTCCGTTCAGTCGTAAGCACACACGAGCGCGGACCAGTGCGTGGTCGGTATCTACACACGTGTTCCAGAAGGAGCGACAATCTCCTACCGACCCACGCCAACGATAGCTTATTGCTATGTGGTCTATTTGTGTCCAGCGTTGATTTGATGATGGGGGTCGCCAGGTCAAACAGTGTCTCTCCTTGTGTTTGAAGTTAGTGCTTACAAGATACAAATGATTATCTGAACAGAACTGTAGGAGACGGTCACCGTTGTCGGTTCGCTGGCACGGAATTCCGTATGTGCCACCGACATTCTTCTCAGATTGACACAATTTCCCTACTTGAGCATTAAAGTCACCAGCTAAGACGACTATATCTGAGCGTTTAGCCTTTCGCAGCAAACTAGACAGCTTTTGGTAGAACTCATCCTTCGTTTCATCCGAACTGCAGTCAGTGGGGGCGTAGGCGGAGATTACGAAAAGGCATCGGCGGGTAGTGCAGTCCTTTCTCCTTTTCACTGATCCGTTCAGACGGACAGCACACATTCGGCTATCTACCGGGATCCAGTCAAGTAATGTCTTCTGCTCTAGTACTTAAAGCTATCCCAACACCAGCTAATCCTCGTGAGCTAGCCGTCGCATCTCCTGACACCCTCAAGGTGAATTTTGCAGATTCATCCTGTTGGCCAGGTGGGGTTAGGTGAATAACCACACTTGGGTCTTGTATGCGTGTTTCTGAAACACAACATACATCAATGGCTCGGGATGCCAGAGTCTTGGCTAGTGATGCTTGTTGTCCTATTTGGCAGAGTGTCCTAACATTAAATGCTCCTATATGAAATTGGTGGCGTGGTTTTAGGAGACCATCGGTGGTGGCTTTTTGGCTTCCATCGTTATCAGTGCACACAGAGTGAAGAGGAAGTGAAGAGCCAACAAGTAGGGGAGTTGCATTGGTAGAAGGAAGGCAAGATAATAGAGATGAAGGTGAAGACAAAGATGAGCGAGGATTAGAGGGGTTTCGCGTGCACTTCGGATTGTGAGGGCGATTGTTACTTCCCGGCTGCCCACACCGTGGAAGTTGGTTGCGTGACCGCAGAGCCCAGGGGACAACTGCTTGAGGCCGGTCACACACGGCCTGTTTTTGTTTGTTCTTTTTCATTTGGTGTGTCTCAGTAGCGTATTTATCACTTCTGCCCTGTGACACGGCAGCAGAAAGCGCGGTCGTTGTTAATCCGGGCCCCGACCGATCCGGCATGATATTTTGTGATTTATTTGAAATCATAGGGATGGATTGGGTAACTGCTTTTAGTCTAACTGCTATCCAGACAACCTTTCTGGCATGGTAGGACCTGCAGGAACATAAGTTCCAGCCAGTATAGCTTGTTGGGTCATTGCAGTGTTCAAGCCCGACCACCACGTCAAGGTAGCAGCTTTCGGTCGGGAGGTAGCAGCTTTCTGTCGGGACGAAGTGATTAGGTGAATGGTAACTGACAGCAGAATACAGGATGTGCATTTCATCCTTTTTTGGACTCGTCAAACTGGGTGTATCCGTAAGGAATAATTTTGTACGGTTTATTGGAAACTAAACGATCGTGCTAGCTCTGTGCATGCCTAGACTTAGCCACTTAATTTCCTAAATCCATGAAAACGTGTATATGATGGTACACAAAGTTTCTGGCATACCACATCTGGTCTTCCGTTTTAACCACTCCATGGCTATGCTCTCAACAAGACGTAGCAATCTGGGTTACTTTCGCCTTTTGATTATTTTAAACTCCTTGATACTGCATACAATATTATCAGTGTCCAATACATGGCGTGCAACCCCATTGTTCAGTGCCTTTCATTATGTTCTTTCGGCTGTGTTCAGAAACGCGAACATGATCTCTTCTCTTTATTTTTCCAATATACGTGATTTCTCAATCACATGTAAATTGGTCAGTATAGTTGGAGACAACATATGATACGAATGTGTCCACTTTTAACTGTCCTGAAATACAATTACTTCGACGCAAACATACCAGCTCGGTAACTACGTATGTGCTCTTGAGCGAAGCGTTTAGGTTGTAGCTTGTACAGCCAGAAATATGATCTCTTTTTCTCCACTCTTCTACAATCCATTTCACTAGGTTTGCTCTGTCTGTGGGTGGACTTCTGGCGTTAACCGATATCACACAGGCATTTCACTAACATAGATCCGTTTTCCGGTTTTTTCTTTGAGATAGGTTAAACAGTGTTCTAATCAATTCTGTTTTGTAGCTTATCAGACAAAAGGTTTTTAGGCTCAGATTTGTTTGGGTTGTAAACAGTTGAGAAGAATCCTTGAGGTAACAAAAATGAGCTCATACTATCCTGCTGTATTCGTCTGTCAAAAATGGTAAATAGACACAGTGAGCTTGAATCTGTTTATACTTTGAGAGCAAATGCAACTAGGTCACTAAAAGTGGAAATACTCGTTATAGTTCACTCATGCTACTAAGGAATTCTAGTTCTAGCTGTGATTATTTCTGAAGATGCAATATTAAAGATATTCAATCATTCGTAATTTTTGTTTTAACTTTTAATGATTTGAAAGTTTTATTCAGCTTGCAATCCTCGTTATCAGATGTTATACACACATATGAGAACGGTAGACTCAGGATTAGCCAGATTGATGAAAGTGCTTTGAAATTTTACAAGTCCCCTGGAATTGTAAACAACTTAATAGATATTTTTTCGGATAATAAACTTACTTCCGAACATTATAACCTGTGTAACCTGCTTCGGTGGCACAGCGGTTAGGACTCTCGCCGACCATGAACATGGTCCGAGGTTCGATCCCTCGCCGACGCACACCTGATATCTACGGTCGGCCTGCTAAATTTGGGCTACCAATATCGCATGCTGAAAATTTCATATTTGTACCAAAAATACAGTGTGGAATCAAGCTATAATAAACAAAAATAGACTGCATGACTGTCACATAAATATCACTGGGAATTGTTTTGATTGGACACTAGTCAGTAACTGGTGTAATGTGTATGTCAAGTCCTATCTTTGTTGCAGACTGAATTCTATCAGTCAAGCTTGCAATGTGTCCACCATGCAAGGTGGCTTGCCATCAGGGCGCACTGTGGATTGTTGTCATTAGATGGTTGGAGGTAATCGGCCACAAGTAGCCTTGGACCTAGGTTTCGTACTAGTTGGCACTCACCAGTCAACAAGGTGTATCTGCAACCTCGAAGGAACTCATGTCCCTTCTGAGATTCAAACCCATATTGCAAATATGACAGACAGTCTGCACCAAAAATAGAACTAGACACATTACACTAGTTACTGACTAGTGTCCAGTCAAAAATTATCTAATACAGTCCTACAGGAGGTCAATCGCGAGCCTGAATAGCTCAGTGGTAACGGCTGTGACTGCAGCACTGGGTGACACGGGTTCGAATCTCAGAAGGGACATGAGTTCCTTCGAGGTTATAGGTACGCCTTGCTGACTGGTAAGTACCAACTAACACGAAACCTTGATTCAAGGCTTCCTGCAAATCTCCTCCAACCATCTAATAGGTTATTTTGCACCAACAATGCCATTAGGAGTGTAAAAGAAATTCTCTGTCTTTATTTTTACGACTTTTCAGCTATGAGTCCGCTCTTTCTACACCAACATCAGATGGGGTAGATAAGGAGCTACAAACTTTTGTTCAAACAATACAACAAAGAGCGGAATTTCAAAGTCATGTTAATCACTTGGCTTCTATTTGTTGGGACAAATGCGTCAGTGGATATCCATCATCAAAAATGGATGCTAAGAAAGCCAACTGTATAGAGAACTGTACCGAACGTTACCTTGATGTCTCTATGCTACTTCGTAATAGATTTCAGTCGATGTTAACTAATTTACAACATTAATTTACTTTGCATTTTCCTTTAATTACAATTGAATTTGTGTACATAAAACTCTAGGGAATGATGTACCTGTTGTTCTTTTTGCTTGTGTAGTTTACGTGGACTGTTGTAAATGCCTTATTTTTCTACATGTATAGTTTTGAATATAACTGGTGCTACATGTAGTTCATAATTTTAGCTTTCAATAAAACCTAGACTTAATGGAAAACCTTTTTCATATTTTGAATCAAGAATATTTCTAACTTCATTTTTACGTTATAGTTTGAAATTACTGTCAACGATGAAACGGTCTTTATAAGTACCCTTAAGTTAGTTTACATCTCAAATGAACGAGGGTGAAATTGTTGATCTCTAGACGAGTGTCGAAGAGATAATAAGAGTGGTTGGTTGTAATCTAGGTGATGATGGGAATTAAAGTCGATCACACTAGTGCATATATGTTCGCCTTTATTTCCTCGTAATCCTCCATCTTTTTAAAATTTTATTCTCATTACATATGGATAGCCAACTTGGGTCACTACGCTGATATGATTCTTATAGCCTTACTCAACAACACATCTATTATATGTCTTCGATGCTTATGAACTGCTTAAAGGTGTCTTCTACTGACCTTCAGTTAGTTTCTACATACACCAGATATATCTTACAAAGATACACTTAAAAAGCCTCATTTATGCTTAGCAGACTTAGTGAGAAAAACGCACGGAAGAACGATCACTTATAACCTGCTCCAGTTAACAGTCTATTTAGATAAATAAGAAGTCTTTGAAATTGTTTGTCATGTTTTTTCATTTGGAATTAGTTAGTAGGAAACCTGTTTCATGTATCTGAGATTTCGGAGAGAGCCTCCACTTTATCGACAGTAAAGTATCGACGCCACACAACAGGAAGCAATAACAGTGCAAGGGTAAACGAGTTAAAGGGTGCAAATAACAACATTTTGGAAACAAGTAAGTATATTTCTTATGGATACTCAAAAAAGATACTTTACTTCATATGGCTATCAAAAAGAGAAAGTGAGTTGTGTCACTGGTTTAGATTCTGAGTGGTGTCAGACCACTGGTTCCTAATGATGCCTTGGATCCACCCAGTTAATTGTGATGCACTGATATGTACCAACTCAACTTTCTCCTCACGGCACCACGTCTTCAACTGACCACCTCTCCACTTAATTCAACCGGTCGCATGATGATATGAAAGCCGTTGAGATGACATTCGTAGCACACTGAAGGCGGTGTTTCGTGGTGGAGTCACATATTGAAAGGCAATCTCTACTATGCTGGTAGTTGCTGTCAGGCTTCCGAGTTACCCGCACAATGATGATTTCGGACATTAACCAGTTCTACGGAGACTGCAATATTCGAACATATAGAGTCGTCAAAAACCGTCAGATCAGTTCTTACATAGCATGACTACATACACTGAAGCATTGCAAATCGTAATTTCGGCGACCAAACGAGCATTACAACTGCGATAGAGACAGTCTATGTTTGTTTCTTTGCTAAGCGATTGGAAATATCCCCCGTCACACTACCAGCGCTAAAACGACATGAAACTGTGGGTACAGGTTCCTGCCAATCTTGTAATATCAATTCACATTTTGATGGTTCGAACCATATACCAGAATTAGACACTAATGACCAACTGAATAAGTGCGACCTGAGTAGTATGTTATCACACACTGAGATGATGTCGTCTTCATACTCCATGCTGAAAAGTCTTTCTCCGAGGCTCAGGTCTACACCAGTTCGATACATATCCTTTGGAATGTCGTGGTTAATGAAGTTAAGTAACTGTATTGTATAATACTAACTGGGTGGGAACTGATGACAGGCGACTGTATGCCTTCATTCTACATGCCAGCGCGTTCCTCTTGGAAGAATGTTATCCGGCATAGGACTAGGTTGGAGCTGGTCAAATGAGAACCTGGAATCAATCTATGAAGTCTTTGACAAGTGCTTCGAGTCACGTAGGAAGGTGTAGGTTGCTCAGAACTCTAAGAACCAATGGCCTGAGACTTGGTGATATGGCTAAAAATCGTTCTCGAAGGAGCAGATGCATTCACTCGGTTAAGTTCACGTGAAACGTATTATTTGAGTTGACACAGGAAAGCCATTTGAAGTACTTTAGTGGGATTTTGTAAGGGATATGCGTGAAGAGCAAGGGTTTTGACCAGATTTGCATAAGTGTGTGAACGTTGTAGGCCACAAGCTAAATACATCCCGCAGTGATAGATATCGCAACTCCTACCACATTCTGCTTTTAATTAGACTGTAATAAAAATTTTGTCCAGCAATACAACTAGAGGTGTACCCTTAAATAGTTTATTTCAAAGTTAAACATGCTTAGGTTCTATCACAGTTGATATAAGCATGCTATTACTAGTAGATGAACACAATATTACTTACTGAAGAAATACTACAAGTGATATAAAGCGTATAATTTGAATGGGACATACTAGAATGACCTGAGTAAAACAGGAGTATGGTGTCTAAATGAAGAGCGTAGTATAGGCGATTACATATGCATTAATTTACTTTTCGTGAAAATAATCAGAATTTATGACTGCGCACTGTTAAGTTCCGCGGCACAGATTTCTATTTAGTTATTCAATCAATATTACCTTTTATGTATCAGCTTCAAATAATCAATTAAGCAGATCTAAGGAGTTTACTTTCAACAAAATGTAATTATATGGAAGAAAGAATACAATAACTTCCCTGACATTTATTAGACAATGTATCAAAAGGTAGACTACAACAAATTTAAGTGTGATTATCTTAGGTACTCCTTGATTGTTATTCTTGCTTATTTATCAAACAAAGCAGTAGAAAAGAATATAAGCAATTATTGTACATAAATACTAATTACAAAATTTTGTCCCTCCAGTAGGAGGTATATATAATCCACATATATGTACATCAGGAAGTGTTTTTTATGAGGAGAGGTGGGTTCTTTACATTGCATATGAAATGATATGTTCACCTTCGTGGAATAACCTAAAAACAAGCTGATTTCTTTTCTCTATATATCATGAACGAATTTGTAAGCGCAGAAATTCGTCACCTTTATTGAAGGCTCCCGTCTATGTTCTTTCGACAAGCAAGGCTACAATAATAAAAGGAGCAAACGAACAAGAAAGTATAGAATGAAAACCAATGTAAATCCGTGTGTGAAGGTTTCGAAAGTGATTTCCATAATATCACAGTAGTGTTAATGTCTGTAACAACAATTTTGTTTCAAACACTTTCTACAAATACTATAAGACTGATAACAATGCACTATATAACCACTGACTCTTATTGTTACTGCTCATATGGATTGTCTATAACACCTAATAAATGATTGTATTGAAGGCATGAAAGAGCTTATGTAGGCTTGGCGCTAGTATTATTCAAATTTCTTCTTCATATAATACCCAGAACATAGTTTTGTCGTGTTTTATTTGTTTTTCATTGGGATCCACAAGAAATTTTTGCTTGGTGCTCCCGTGTATTGTTAAGATGAGGATACGTAAACGTTCACTTTACCTACTAAAAAAAAAACAACAGTTGACCAATGGTGTGAAGTGATCAAATATTCACCCTTTGTTACAGGATTTTCAACATGAGCTGAAATTAGTTAGAGAACCATTGGAAAACCTGGGAGTACTGGACAGCTGTTTCGTCCTAATTTGGGACTCTTCATCAGTATGCACCCACCAGGATTCGAACCCAGGACCTTCTGGTTACAAGGTGAGCTCGTATACCATTAAGCCACTGGGACCCGATCCAATGGCCCATGAATACTAACTTCTACCAATTCACGACATAGCGCGAATTTCGGTGGGTGCTTACTGTTGAAGAGTCCCAGACTAGGACGAAACAGCTGTCCAGTACTCCCAGGTTTTCCAGTGGTTCTCTAACTAATGTCAGCTCATGATGAAAATCCTGTAACCAATCAAATCCCTACAAACCAACACTTGAATATTCACCCTTTGTTTTAACTCTACAGTATGCAAGTATGTATCCCCTTACTCTATACACTATATATATGTTTTGATTGCAAGGAGACAATCAACAATGTTGGTCACGAAGCTCTTTTAAGAGTGGTTGGCTATGAAAGCAATATTGAAGAAAGACTCAGGCTGAACTTGTAGGTCTTGTAATGATCAACAGTAAAGTTAACATTAACTAATGGTATCGTCGAAAGATATCGATCACAAGAATTTCTACTTCCTCTGGCTGACAACTTTTGTATACGGTTTTAGTTGCTTTTCTGGTTGTTTATTCAATAATTTCATGGCGAAATAACTACAGACAATAACTGAACGGTCTGTATATCAGAATGCTTGGATGAAGTATCGGAAAATGTTTTGTGTGCATTTCATATTATTCTATTTGCAATAAAACTTCAGAGTCGATGTAAACAACCAGAAAGCCTAACGATATGTATTTAAGCGACCTTTTTAAAACTTTGTATCAGCCTCAATAGAATCTACTCCTCGATCAATCAGGACATATAAATACTGTAGTATGGTGAAGGCCTCAAAGAGTTATGAAACTCCGTTGTATGGTAAAATGCATATATACCACTCTGACGAAGTTCTGTCTATATCTGGAAACCCATCACGTCCCCAGCTCGATCAGGAAACTAAGTCCCTATTTGAGGAAGAACTAGCTAAACACATATCTGAGTTCGACAGCTGCGCTCACCGTAAAGAAGCCTGGAAGAATATTCAGTCAGCCATAGATACAGCTGTAAAAGCTGTGGATAAGTTAAATCCAAGGGTGAGTAAAAACCATTGGATTTCGACTGCCTCATCCGAACTGATAGATGCTAGAAGACTTATTCCGGCGAGCTCCGAATTCAATGAGGAGCGAAAGCTGCACAAAAGGAAACTTACGAAAAGTCTCCGCAAGGACCGTGAACAGTGGTGGTTGACAAAGGCGAAAGAGATGGAAAAAGCATCGGCGATAGGCAACTCTTTAGACTCATCAGGGAAACGGGTGGGAGAAGGCAAATCATAAGTGAGACTATTTGTGAGAAAAATGGCTCCTCAATTAGCTCTCAGGATAGACGCCTCGAACGCTGGAAAGAACACTTCGAGGAACAGTTTAACTTGCCTACAGCTACACTGAGCCTCCCCGCCATCCAGCACACACCCGAATGGGATATAGACACTGGCCCGCCGTCTGTAAGTGAGGTCACCAAAGCTATCTGTAATT